TTGATGGAGCGACTCTCTGTTGACTACGGCAAGAAGTCCAAGCTGGAGTTCTCCATCTATCCCGCACCACAGGTCTCCACCGCTGTGGTGGAGCCCTACAATTCCATCCTCACCACCCACACCACCCTGGAGCACTCGGACTGTGCTTTCATGGTGGACAACGAGGCCATCTACGACATCTGCCGCAGGAACCTGGACATCGAGCGCCCAACCTACACCAACTTGAACAGACTCATCAGCCAGATTGTCTCGTCCATCACGGCATCACTGCGGTTCGATGGAGCCCTGAATGTTGACCTGACCGAGTTTCAAACCAACCTTGTGCCCTACCCTCGTATCCACTTCCCTCTGGCTACCTACGCCCCCGTCATCTCTGCAGAGAAGGCTTATCATGAGCAGTTATCGGTGGCCGAGATCACCAACTCCTGCTTTGAGCCGGCCAACCAGATGGTGAAATGTGACCCTCGCCACGGCAAGTACATGGCCTGCTGCCTGCTGTACCGTGGGGACGTGGTGCCCAAGGACGTCAACGCCGCCATCGCCACCATCAAGACCAAGCGCAGCATCCAGTTTGTGGACTGGTGCCCCACGGGCTTCAAAGTGGGCATCAACTACCAGCCGCCCACGGTGGTGCCGGGGGGGGACCTGGCCAAGGTGCAGCGCGCCGTCTGCATGCTGAGCAACACCACGGCCATCGCCGAGGCCTGGGCTCGCCTGGACCACAAGTTCGACCTGATGTACGCCAAGCGAGCCTTCGTGCACTGGTACGTGGGCGAGGGCATGGAGGAAGGGGAGTTCTCCGAGGCGCGGGAAGACATGGCCGCTCTGGAGAAGGATTACGAGGAGGTGGGCCTGGACTCCTACGAGGATGAAGAGGAAGGCGAGGAGTAGAGCAGCTCCTGCCCAAAAGGACCGTGCTCCTTCCCCATGTTACCTGCAGAAGCCCTTTGCAATAAACCGTTTGAGAGCCTTTGTGTCTCCCACTAACCCCCCAGCCGTATCGGTTTCTTGCCAGGTCAGGTGTGTGGTGAGTGCTTCAGCTCTGCTGCTGGTGCTGCTATGCTTCCTCCCAGCGCTCTGCTCCAGCTCCAGCTTGCTCCCTGTGCAGGTAAGAGCCCCCGGGCCCGCTCCCTGGGGCTGTGGCACACACCCCACCCCTCTCACTGCTCCAGCCGGGGGTGGGTACCGCTTCCTTGTGTGATATATGGCCCCGCGCTGTCTCCTGGAGCTCAGGGGGGCAGATTTAGCCTGAGCAGGAAAAGATAGGCAGCTGCTGGGACTTCTCCCCATGTGCAGCCCAAGGGTAGGTGGGCTTGTCTGGAAGGATAGTGGTGGAAGCTGTGGGAGCTGCCTGGCCCCCCTGTCGCGGGACAAGGGGCGTCCCTGGCTCTGCGGTGCAGCGGGTGCTCGCTGCAAAGGCATCCAGCGCGGCAGGAACCCCCGCGGCTGCTTTACTGCTCTGTTATGGTGAGAGGATTAAAGGAGGGGAACGCTCCCTGTGAAACTGCTTGTCTCCATCTCTGTTTTTTTACCCGCCTTCCACAAGCAGCCCAATTGCTGAGTGACCCAGTGAGCCTCTCCGGCCAACGGTGCCCACAGGGCTGGGGGGGGGTCTCCCCAGCACTGGGGTGGTTGTGCTGTCCCCAGGCTCTGCTCACCCCCACCGCAGCAGGGCCGCTGTCCGTGCCTTCCAAGATCTGGCATCTCCCCAGCCTGGGCACCCACCTCCCTCTTGGGCAGCCAAAAAGCTCTGCCTGTACCCCTGCCATTGCCTGCCTGCACTGTGCTGATCCCCTTCCCTCAGTGCCCAGCCCCAGAGCCTCCGAACAGTCGCGCCTGGCCCCAGCTGCAGTTGTGTGAACTCCCATCAAGAGCGCGCTGGGGCCAGGGATTAACTTTCCCCGCTTACTGCTAATGCTCTGGCCACGCCGCCCCGCCGGGGCTGTCATCTGCAGCCTTTCCCCTTCAGCAACGCTTGGCTGCTCAACCTGGGCAGCCTGCCCCTGGCAGGACCCCCTCCCTGCAGACAGGGACATGCCATCCACACCTCCGCAAGAACATCTTTTTTACTCCAAACACAAGGCAACGTCGGCGCTGAGAGCAGCAGCGGAGCGGGCGCTGGGTCCCCTCCGCCTTGCTCCAGCACTGCACCGGGACCCGGACAGCAGCTCTGCCCTTGGTCAGGAGCGACCCTCCTGGGGCACAGAGCTGTGGGGCTGCGGCTGCCGTCACCCGGGGTGGGGTGGGGGGTGTCTCACAGCATCCTCCTCTGCAACCCCTGGGGGGAGGCAGCGGCTGGCAAGGGCCCCATGGTTAGCAGCAGGTCACACGCTCACAGTTCTGGGGCACAGAACAAGTCCCAGGCAGCAGCATCCAGGGCACAGACCACTCCAAATCCAACACACCTCTGGCACAGCAGCAGCTCTCCCCCGAGTGCAGCAATCCCCTCTGCAACGGCTCCACGGGGCGGGGGGGGGGGGGGGTGCGGCGCGCAGGGATGAGGGCAGCTGCTTTTCCCCTGGTTTGGGCTCAGATCTGCGTGGTGTCCTGGCCTGCCGGCGCTGGCTGCAGCCCCTCCAGCTGATGGAGGACCTCATTTATGCTGGGTCGCTCCTGGGGGTTCACCGTCATCATGGAGGAGAGCAGGCGCTGCAAGGCAGCCGAGTATCTGGAGGAAAGATGACGTGGGGAGGGGGGGGGGGGGGCGGTGTCCGTGTGGTACACAGCACAGGGGACTGCCCGGGAGTGGGGTCACCCTGCCCAGCCCCTCACCTGGTCGTGGGGGGCACAGTGATGGGGTTCTGCACTGCCAGAGCCACGCTGTCACCCTTCTGGAAGATGGCGTCATAGGGGCCCTCCCCAAACATCATGCAGTACAGCACGCAGCCTAGGGACTGAAGCGCAGTGGGGTCAGGGCAGCCCCACGGCAGTGGGACAGGGGGTGGGGAGGGGGTGGGGGTCAGATCCTTACCCAAATATCTGTGCGCTCATCTATGACGCACTGGCTCGGCACTGTGAAGAGCTCGGGGGCACGGTAGGAGATGGTGCAGCGCTGGGCAGCCCAGTCCTGCGGAGAGGAGGAGGGTGAAGGTGGGGATGAAGGGCTTGGGGCAGAGATGGGCTGGTGGGTTGACGTCGCAGGGCACCCACCTGCACGGCCATGGCCTGCCGAGAGCTGCTGACTTCGATGCGAGCTTGGTTCATAGAGCCCAGGTCCATCAGCACAGGCCGGTCATCCTCGTCCAGCAGCACATTGGTAGGCTTGAGGTCCCTGTGGGGATGGATGTCACCAAACACCTGCTGGGCCCCCTGCTAACCCCCCCCAGCCAGGGCTGCTGGCCCCCCACCTGTGCGCATAGCCCTTGCTGTGGATGGCTTGCAGCCCGCAGCAGATGCCGTGGAAGATGAGGAGGATCCGCTGCTCTGGCATGAAGGTCCCTTTCTCTCGCAGTGCTTGCACCTCGCTCCAGAGTGTCCCACCCTGGCAAACACAAGCAGCTGGTCACCGCTGCTGGTCCCAGCAGCAAGGGGGTGAGGGCGGCCAGGGGAGCCCTCCCTCACCTTCACGTAGGGCAGGAGGAGCCACGCTTCATGCTTGGCACCCTTCTCCACCATGCAGTGGGCCACCAGGCGCAGGATGTTGGGGTGGTCGAAGAGGCCGTGCATCTTCACCTCGTGCAGGGCGGCCTGGCGGTCCTCCTTGTCGTGGCACAGGATGCGCTTCAGGGCGTAGAAGCGCCCATCCCGCAGCCCCTCCACCAGGTCCACATAGCTGAAGCCCCTGCGAGGAGTCGAGCACGGTGTGGGCTAGGTGTCACACCGCTGTGGCACCCGTGTCGGGGCCTTGTGCCCAGCCTCAACTGTGATTGCCCAGGGTAGGGAGGCAGAGGGCAGTGGGTGCCTGCAACCCTCTCCGTGGGAACCCCTCGGGCGTGCATGTTCCCCCCACTTTGGGGGCACCTGCCAGGCACCCAAAGCATCCCCCTCCTGCATGAACAAACCCACTGGCCCAACCACCCTCACTCCCATGGGTCCAAGCACCCACTCCTGGGCATGATCGCCCCCTGCCACCCAGCATGAGAATCCTCCTCCATGCATGTGCTCAAGCATCTCCCCCATGCCCAAACCGCCCTGTGCTCAAGCATTTCCCCACCATGCCTAAGCACCCCCACATGCCTGAGCATCCCCCCTGTGCCCAAGCATCACCTCCACCCCCGAGCATTCCCCTGTGCCCAAACATCCCCTATGCCTGAGCATCACCCCCAGGTCTGAGCACTCCCCATGCACAAGCACCCACTATGCCCGAGCATCCCCCCATGCCTGAGCATAAGCTCTGACCCAAGCACTCCCCCCCCATGCCCAAGGATCCCCTGCATGCACAAGCACCCCCCATACCCAACCAACCCCATGCATGAGCACCCCCCCACGCCCGAGCATTCACCTCCATTCCCGAGCATTCCCCCCTCATGCACAAGCACTCCGCCCCCGTGCCCGAGCATTCCCCGCATGCATAAGTACCCCCCAGGCCCGAGCATCCCCCCCATGCACAAGCATCCCCCCTGCCCGAGCACCCATGCACGAGCAACACCCCGCCATGCCCGAGCATCCCCCCAACGCACGAGCACCCCCCACGCGCAAGCATCCCCCATGCCCGAGTACCCCCCCATACCCAAGTATCCCCCCCCCCCCCCATACCCGAACACCCTCCATACCCGAGCATCTCCCCCCCACGCCCGAGCATCCTTCCCACGCCCGAGCACCCCCCATGCCCGAGCATCCCCCCCGGGCCCGTCGACCCCCCCGAGCCCCCCGCCGTGCCCCAGCCCCCCCGCGGACCCCTCTGCCAGGCGGTGGAGCAGGAGGTACCGCACGCCCCCCACGCTGACTGTGCCGCGGGAGCAGACGCACAGCGCCTGCCCCATCGCCCGCCCGCGTCATCGCCCGCCGCCGCGCGTCACCCATCGCGTCACCCATCGCGTCACCCATCGCGTCACCCAGCGGGCGGGGCGCTACAGCTTTCCCGGCCCCCGGTGCCGCCGCGGCGGGAGTCGCACGCCCCGTCCTCCGGTGCGGGCGGGCTGCGGGGAGCGCGGCGGGGGGGGGCAGCGCCGAGCCCCGGGCTCGCCCCGCGTTGTGACCGGGACGGAACGTGGCGTCCCCGGCTGCGGGCGGCGGTACCGGCAGCCGCAGCCCCGGAGCTGGCCCCGGTGAGCCAAGCCCCTCGCCCGGGCGGGCAGGTCGGCGGGGCAGGGGACAGGGGTGGCATCACCCTGCCCTGCGGCACCTCCCCGGCACCCCCGGCACCAGGCTCCAGCCCTCGGGCCGGGGACTTTTTCCTTTTCCCCCCCTTAACGGAGCTACGACCGAGGTTTCCATCACCACCTCTCTGATGAAACGAGTGGGCTGTGCTCCCTCGAAGGCGTTTTGTCTGGTGGTGACACTTTTACGAGGCTCCTCGTCCCCCGCCATGTGTGTCACCCACCACTCCGGGGGGCACCAGGGATGTGTCAGCCGGCTGGAGCTGGCTTGGGCGGTGGGGTGCTGCCAGCATCCCGGGCTGGGTGGGCTTTGAGGGGGGTGATGTGCAGCTGGCCCAGGTATTGGGGGGGGCCAGAGCCGCTCACCCTCCATCCCACACTCCTTCCCAGCAGCAAGGAGTGTTCCAGCTGCCTGCACTTGGACCTGGAGGAAGCGCCTGGAGCTGGCGGAGAAGGATCATGTGCTGACAGTGTCCACGTCCCACTTCGTCCCCCATCCCGGGCCCAGCAAGCGCCCAGCGAGGATGAGGCTGCCGGCTCTCACCGTGCTGCTGGCAGCAGGGCTCCTGCACACACAGGTCAGCAAACAGGGGTGGGGAGTTTGGGAAAAGCACGCGGGGCTGAGTTGCAAAGGTTCTGCTGGGACGGCTCCGCGTTCTGCCTTGCTTCCCTCCCTGCTCTTCCTGCTGTGGCTCCCATCTGCTGCACCCTGTGTCCCGCCCCAATGTCCTGCCTGCGCTCTCAGCTCCCTGCCTGCCCTCTCAGAACCCATCCCCAGCGGCACCCGTCCCCCGAAAATGCCACCAGCTCAGCCTCCTGGTGATTGATTAGCGAGGGGGGGGAGGGGGGGAGGGCATCAGGCAGTGCAAATGGTGGCCCTGCTTGTCCCTCCTGCTCTCCCAGGACAGCGTGGTACCTGCCTCATCCCTGCGCTGAAGATGGGGAAGGTGCCCCCCAGGAACCAGCCCCTGTTAGTCCCTGTCTGCAGGGAGTGTAGGAGGGGGCGGCTGGGCTTGGGGAGGGTCTGCGGCCCCCCCAGTACTGCCCCTCTCCCGCAGGCCTCCCCCCTGGCACGCTCCTTCCAGCTGGATTACGAGGGGGACTGCTTCCGCAAGGATGGTGCCCCTTTCCGCTACATCTCGGGCAGCATCCACTACGCCCGCGTCCCGCGCCCCGCCTGGAGGGACCGGCTCCTCAAGATGTACATGAGTGGGCTCAGCGCTGTGCAGGTGTAAGTGATGGGGGCAGCCCCGGCGGCGCACAGCCCACAGCCACGCCTCGGGGGTCTCTGGGGTCCCGGGAGTAGGGACAGAGGCAAGGGTGTTGCCTGATCACAGGGAGCGGGGAACAGCCCTTGCACTGGGCTGACTGGGACCCCCAGGTCTGAGGAGCAGAGGGGCCAGCCTGTGGGGTGGCACCCCGTCGTGCCAGGGTGCCCTTTAGCCCCCGCGTGCTGATCTCCCCTCTCACCCCAGCTACGTGCCCTGGAACTACCACGAACCGCTGCCGGGGGTCTATGACTTTGCCGGGGACCGGGATGTGGAAGCCTTCCTGGACCTGACAGCCGAGCTGGGGCTTCTGGTGATCCTGCGGCCGGGGCCCTACATCTGTGCAGAGTGGGAGATGGTGAGCCCCAGCCCCTAGACCTGGGACCCCTAAAGGGGTCCTGGGTGGCCTGGGAAGGGCACAGGGGGGGTTGGCCCTTCTGGCTGACACGCTGACCGCGGTGCCGTGCCAGCCGTGCCCAGGCTGCTGCCCCCCGGGGCACGTGCCCCTCCAGGGCCGAGCATCGGCGTTGTGCTGGCTGGGTTTCGGGCTGCTGAGCAGTTTCTCTGCCTCCCTCTCTGCCGTGCGTGTTTCTCCAGGGCGGCCTGCCTGCCTGGCTCCTGTGGAAACCAGACATCGTCCTGCGCTCCTCCGACCCCGGTGAGCATTGGGACGGGGCTCCGGCCACTGTGTCCTTACAGCCTGGTGCCAGTCCCAGCACGCTGGTTTCTCTCTGTGCACCTGCCAGCCCTGTGTGCATGGTCTCTTCTCTATCTTTTGGGACCCCCATAGTTCACCCTCCATCACTGCTTCCTCATCGCGTTCGGGCCTGCCCTGTCCTATCGTTCTCCTGGCAGGGCTGGCTGTGGGTAGGCTGGGGTGGACACTGCAGCCAAGCTGGGCTACCCTCTGTCCCCACAGCCTACCTGGCAGCTGTGGACTCCTGGCTCCATGTCCTGTTACCCAAAATCAAGCCACGCCTGTACCAGAATGGGGGGAACATCATTAGCGTGCAGGTAGGGTGCTGTGGGACCCAGCCCCCTGCCCTGCTCTGGGTCATCTTTGGGTGTGCCCCAAAAAGCCATCTCAACCCCTACGCCATGACCTCGTCTGGCACAGCTCATAGATAAATCCCTCCCGAACTCTGTGCCTGGGTTTAAATCCAAGGGCTGGGAATCTGGGGTACCTGCCAGAGTAGTTTGAGGGACACTGGCAGAGCTGGGAGTCTTGATGGAGCTGGAAGGTCGTTCTCAGGACCCACCTGGGGGCTGTCACACCATCCAATGTTAGGAGGGATGGGGGGAGCTGGGTGCTTGTCCCAGTGGGTGGTGGGACCTGGCTGCAGCCCTGCCATGTGCACGCTGGGTGCCAGCCCCTGCCCTGCTCGCAGGTGGAGAACGAATACGGGAGCTACTACGCCTGCGACTATGGGTACCTGCAGCACCTCCTGGGCTCCTTTCGGGTGCTGCTGGGGAGCGAGGTGGTGCTCTTCACCACCGACGGCACACGGGCGGAGGAGCTGCGCTGCGGCACCTTGCAGGGGCTCTACGCCACCATCGACTTCGGGCCAGGTACCCCTATGGGGGAGGAGGAGAGGGGATGGGGGTCCCGGCTCCCCCCTTCTCCGACCTCCCTTCACCTCCGCAGGCTCCAATGTGACGGAGGCGTTTGGTGCCCAGCGCTGGGTCGAGCCGAAGGGGCCCCTGGTGAGCTTGGCGTGGGCGCTGTGGCGGGGAATGACTTGCAATGGCTTTGGGGAGGCAGAAGGGCTGGTGGGGGGGTGAGGCTCACAGAGGAGTGCCGGGAGCCCCAGCTCCGGGCAGGTGACAGTCCCTTGGTCCCCCAGGTGAACTCCGAGTACTACACGGGCTGGCTGGACTACTGGGGGGGAGCGCACGCCAGCACCAGCTCGGCGCTGGTGGCCCAGGGGCTGGAGGACATGCTGCGGCTGGGAGCCAGCGTCAACATGCAAGTAGTCAGCTGGTTGGGGGGTGGGGGGGGGCCACAGCCTGGGGGGGCGATTCCCTCCCCTCTGTCAGCATCGGAGTGGGCACTGCCTCTCGCCTTCATCCCGCAGGGCTCGGGCAGTGGGAGGCAGGCAGGGCCGGGATTGCTGGTGCAGCAGGGTGGGGGCAGTGCCTGGTGAGCCCCTGCCGGGTCTGGGGGGTGCTGACAGGGCTCTCTGGGGTGTCCCGTAGGTACATGTTCCACGGGGGGACCAATTTCGCCTATTGGAGTGGTGAGTAGGGCCCTGCCCTGGGGAGGCGGAAGGGCACACTGTGGGGCTGGGGGGATTTTCCTCGGCCACCTCCAAGGAGGCTGCTTCAGGCTCCCACTCCGTCTCATAGGCCAGGCTGACACATAGCCAAGGGCCCTGATACCCAAGCTTGTCCCCTCCTGGGGACTGCTTTTGTCTCCAGGCAGGGGCCCCCAGTTCTGGGTGGTGCCCCCCCCCCACACATTGCCTCGCATCCAGCCTGGGGCTGGGGTTCATGCCCTGGGCTCTGCCAGAGCCCCTTCCTCCAGCTCCCATCCCTTCCCTGGCCAGGTGCTGACTTCAAGGATCAGTACAAACCAGTGACCACCAGTTATGACTACGATGCCCCACTCTCAGAGGCGGGAGACCCCACCGAGAAGCTGTTTGCCATCCGCACAGTGATCAGCAAGGTGCGGAGCCTGGCAGGAGGAGGGGGACAGCACTGGGCACTGCCGCCTGTGCCAGGGAAGTGGGGACACAGAAGGACGTGGCGGGGCAGGGGACATCTCCCTGCTCACCCCGGCGCGACAGCTGACAGTTTGCTGTTCAGTTCCAGACCCTGCCAGTCGGTCCAATGCCACCCGCCACCCCCAAATACGCCTACGGCTGGGTGGCCCTGCGGAAGGTGAGTGCCTGCCCTGAGGGCTGTGCTGCCCCTGCCTGGCACTGCCCAGCTGCCCAGCGCCCACCCCTTTTTGTAGTATGCTGACCTCCTGGACGTCTTGGATGTGCTGTGTCCCTCTGGGCCCATCCAGAGCCAGTTCCCCCTCACCTTTGAGGCCACAAAGCAGGTGAGGGGCTGGGTGCAGTGAGGGACCCTGAGGAAGATGCTCCTAGGCTTGTTTGCTCTGCCCTAGCTCCAGAGTCGAGGAGCAGGGCTCGTCTCCGGACCCATTTCCCTTTCTGTGCCACTCTGCTGTGTCCTGCAGGCCCATGGCTTTGTGCTGTACCGCACACAGCTGCCCCAGGATGTCCTGGACCCAGGGACGCTGAGTGCTCCTGCCCACAGCGTCTGTGACCGTGCCTATGTGATGCTGCAGAAGGTGAGGCAGCAGGAGCACACCCGTCCCTGGCCTGGCCTTGCGGGAGGGCTGTGGGACCTGCCGACAGCGGAGTCGTGCTCTGCCAGGGCCTCGGGGACAGCCAGGGTGCCGAGAAACACACTGAGCCCTTGTGGGGTAGCCCTCCGGTCCAAATTTGTCCCCTGTGGGGGCAGAAGGCAGCCTGGGCTGGTTCCGAGAGAGCAGGCAGCAGTGCTGGCAGCGACTGGGGCAGGGGGATCCAGGCACAGCAGCGCTGACCCTGTGGCTGCAGGAGTTCCAGGGGACGCTGGAGCGGGACGGGCGGACAGCGCTGCATGTGACGGGCAGAGCAGGGGACACCCTGGATGTGCTCCTGGAGAACATGGGCAGGATCAACTTTGGGGCCAACATCAGTGACTTCAAGGTGAGGGGAGAGGGCCCCGGGGCTCTAGAGGGGATGGTCTGGGCACTCGCATGGCCAAACACCCCCTCTTGTGACCCAGCCATGGGGGGGCCGCCCCCAGACCTGCTGCCTGGTTAATCTCACACCATCCCCTCCCCTGGTCCTAGCAAACCCACCAGGACAAGGCTGAGGTTGTCACCTGTCTCCTAGTTTTGCCCCTATGGCAGCCAGAGCTGTGCAGCCCCTCTGAGGGATCCCATCCCACCTCCACTGCCGTGAGGGGGACATGCCCTGGGGAAGCCAAGCATCCTCCTGCTTGTGGCAGACCTCTGTTGCCACCTCATTTTGGCCCCTGCTCCATCTCAGGGCTTGCTGGGGAACCTCTCCTTGGACTCCAGCCCTCTCAGCAACTGGCTGATCTACCCCCTGGCCACAGACACTGCCATCCGGCAGGGCTGGCCCCATGCTGCCCTGCCGAAATCAAGCAGTGGGGGCAGAGCGGGGCCAGCCTTCTACATTGGGACCTTTGAGACCCCTGGCATCGCCTGTGACACCTTTGTGAAGTTCCCAGGTTGGAGCAAGGTAGGGCGGTGCATACCAGGAGAGGGGGTGAGGGTGGAGGGGGGCACAGCTCAGTCCTGTCTCAATCTTCCAGGGCCAGCTGTGGATAAATGGCTTCAACCTGGGCCGGTACTGGCCCTGCCGTGGGCCCCAGCAGACCCTCTTTGTGCCCAGCTCAGTGCTGCATGCTGGCCGCCCTAACAACATCACAGTGCTGGAGTTGGAGGGGGCACCCGCCACCCCTCTCTTACTCTTCCTCGACCGACCCCTTTTCAACAGGACCCTCAGCCACAGCCCTGAGGCCACAGAATAAACACAGGGCTGCTGGGCACCAGCAGCACCTCTCGCTGGGGCTGCGGAGGGCTGGTGAAGCACAGGGGGGAGTGGAGGGGCTGCAGGGCCCTAGGAAAGGGGCACGGGTCCTGGCACAGACATCCAGAGCTCCTGCCCTCCTCTGGGGCCAGGCAGGGTCTGTGCTAAGCAGAAAGGGGCACAACACTGAGCTTGTTTTGCATGTTAATCCCACACCTGTTCCAAATAGTTGCAGCACTCTTGCTGATTCCCCCCACGCCTAGGGGGTCAAGGCACCTCTTTATTAACAATGCAGGCAGAGGAGGTAGTTGCTAACATGATACAGCTGAGATGCTGGTAGCATCCAGAGAAGGAAAGGGCAAAGCACAGTCTAGGTGTCCACAGGTAGTTCAGAGCTGCAGGGTCAGGATCTGCCGCGGGCAACAGCCTAGAATGTACCCATGAGAAAAACTGGCACAAGGACCCCTGCCTGCAGCCAGGCCACAAAACAGCCCTGGCAGCTCACACTAGCGCCCAGGCACCTCTCAGTTGTAATGTCCTGAGGGTCACCAGCCAGAGACCAATGTCAATTCATGCCCCCAGCCTTGCCTGAGTTGCCCTGGAGAGGGGCATGGCCAGCTCCGTCCCTCTGACCAGCGCTGCTCCACAGGCTCTCCCTCGCTGCGCAGCCAGTGCTCAGCCGTGTCTCCGCCACGCTGGTCCCCGGCGGGTGGGGGCAGTCCCCAGCCCTATGTGTGACCAGCCCGGGCCCGGCGGTGGGTTTGCAGGCAGGCCGTGGAGCAGAAGGAGAAGTCGAGGTAATGGAAAGGGACCCGGCCCAGCAAGGACTCTCCACAATACCAGCAGCGGCTGCAGGGAAGAGCAGAGGTGGCCCTGAGCAAAGGGGACACTTGCAAGAGGGTTAGAGAAGGAGAGGACACATTGCCCAGGCTGTGACATGAGACACCGGCAGCGTGAGGGAGCTGGGGCTCCTCGTCCTACAGGAGTGATGTGCTCACTCATCATGTTCCAGCCTGCGGGGTGGCACAGGGAAGGGACACGGGCACAGGAGTTGCTGGGGGGTTGGCTTGCCATAGATCTGGCTGACCAAGGCGTCATTTGCAAAATATTTCAGGGGGGCAGGGCAAAAGAAGGAGAAAGCCGTTACGCAGGCACTACTGGGAACTGAGTGGACAGGAATAGCTTTAGACTGGAAACGAGAACTGGAACAAGAAGGGCAGGGAACAGCTGTGCTGACGTGGGAGAGTTTATCGGCGGGGGCCGTTACCTGATGTTGGCAGGAGCTGTGCCGGCGTCCTGCCGCTGCGCAGCCAGCCTCCGCTCGGCAGCCAGCGCCCGCTGGGGAGCACAGACACAGCTCAGCACCCCCTGGGAGCTGCTGAGCCCACCGCACCGGCACTGCCCCGGCCGGGCTGGCCCCCCTCCCCACGCACGGCCCCACCTTCTCCCTGTCGGACAGGGCCGCGAACCGCTGCTTCTCCTCCTGCTCCTGCTCCCGGTGCTGCCGCTCCTCCCGCTGCGCCTGCTCCCGCTGCTTCCGTTGGGCTTTCTGTGCCCGCTTCTTCTCCAGTTTCTTGGCCTCCATCTCCTGTGTCAGGGGCCCTGGCACCTGGGGGGCAGAGGGCAGTCAGCATCTCCCACTGAGCCAGGGGCAACGGCACGAGCGGGGGTGAGAGACGACTTGTAACTCCCCAAAACAGGGACTGAGAAAAACAGCCTGAGAAAGAAAGAAGGGACGGAGGGGGAGTAGAGGCCCTTTGAGCCGAGGAATGCCTCAGACACTCACAAGTAACAAAATTATAGTCACAGGGTGGATAACGTGGAGCCTGGAGCTGGTAAGGCAGCCTGATTAGCACAAGATGCAGCTGGGGATATGCTAATGAAAATTAAGAAGATCATGCTAATTACATTATCCCATGAAGTGCCTTACTCCTCCCCATACATGTGATGTGTAGTAGGTACATAGGTCAAGCTGGGGGACAGACCCAAGGACAGGGTGTATAAATTGAGGCAGGGGTTGAGGAGTGAAAACAAGACCAAGCAATAGATAGAAAGGAAAAGGAGAAGGTAAAGCAGACGGATGCATCCCTGACAAATTTGGACAGGACCAATGCAGGAACCCAGACCAGTGATCTCTATTTCTCTATCACTCTTCTTTTTCCCCTTTTCCCTTATTACCATTAATTAACTCAAGGCACGTTAAATCACTTACCATAATTCGTCATATACTTAGCTGATTATCATGTATCCAATTAGTACACTGTATGAAATTAATAAATGCCTGTGCATGGACTTTGAGACTTGTCTCATCATTGCCCACTCTGTTGGGGATGTACAAACTTAAGCCCCTTGTCTCCCTGTCTGAGCAGGGTGTGACAGTGGGTGAGGGACGCTTTGCCCTGGGGTCCCCCCAGCCCCCAGCAGGTGAGGGCAGAGGGCAGGCACCTACCTTGGCACGGCTGTAGTCGTACTTGTCTGGATGGTCCACCATGAACTTGCGGAAGGCATTGCGGGTCGGTTTGTCAGCAGAGACACAGTAGGGGGTCCTGTCCTGCCTGTCTCTGCGAGACAAGGAAGACCAGCTCACCCTGCCACCTTACTGCCTACGTACCACTGGGCTGTGAACCCAGCGACTTCCCAGGGATGTCTGATGGGTACCGCAGGCCAGAGTATCACAGCAAAGGAGTGGAAAGTTGCTTATCCGTACACCAGAATCCCCCCAAATCCTCCCCCCTCTTCTTGCATCTCGAATGCCCTGCAAAAAGAGTGGTCTCAGCCCTCCTCTCCAAACTGTCTACCAATAAAACCTGGGAGCACCCTGGGGCAGTGCCCACCTCCTGCTGTGCCAGACCAAGCAGGCAGAGAGACTAGTGGTTCAGCTCTGAGGCCTCCCAGAACAAACTCAGACATCCCGGCTGAGCAAGACCAACCCCAGTTGTCCCAGAACAATGCTGGCACCAGTCTCCCGTGGCTGAGACAGGAGGGAGCTGCTGGGCTCCTACAGAAAGGGCTGTGCTTGCCAATTGCTGGGCGTCCTGCAGCCATACCTGAGGGCAGGGTCCACCCCTGCCTCCAGCAGCAGGCAGACAGCCTCGGCCTTCCCTGCCCGTGCTGCCACGTGAAGCAGGGTGCTGCCACGCTCATCCATGGGCTGGTTGAGCAGGGAGCGGGGCATATCCAGGGGCTGTGTGTCCTCCCCACCCTCACTGTCCACCCGCAGGGCCCCGTTCTCTGGCACAACCAGGAGGTGCCGCAGCGTCCCCACATCCCCCGTTTTGCAGGCGGTGAACAGGGCATCGCGGAGCTGGGTCTGAGGGTCTCCTGTGAGGGAAGAACAGGAGGGGAATCTGATGGGTCCCTGGGCAAAACAGTGCTCTGGTCTAAGAAACACACGCAGCACAACTGAAGCATCATTGCACTAGCTGGATTTGGGCACTACAGGATCTCCAGCACATTCAGTCTGTGACAACATGACATGGCATTGCTGGGTGCTGTTGGCAGCATCTGAGCCCTCTCCAATCCCCCCTAACACACCGGGTGCTGCCTGCCCCAGCAGGGTTCAGAGCTACTGCTCTGAACACAAAGCTCACTCCAAGGCAGGTGGCTGCACTACAGCGATCCCACGCCCAGCTGCTCTGGGCGCTTGCGTGACAACGTGCTCTTCACCCGCTGCAAAGCCAGCAGCAAGGGAGGCAGGCACCCATCCGGCCCAGCTCCTGACCCCACTTACCTCCATTGTCCCAGGGAAGGGGCTCAGTCCCAGCCTCCCCCTGCAGCTCTGTCACCAGCTCCAGGCCAGGCTGCCCACACTGGGTACCAGGGCATCCCGCCTCTTTGGCACGGGGCCCTGCATGGGAAGCATATGGTGAGGAAGAGGCCCAGGGCTAGCCTGCACCCCAGCCAGGGTAATTCTTTCCCCACTGCCTTCCTACACTGTCCTCAGCCAGTTCTTCCCACTCACCTTTCTCCACCTTCTTGTCCCTCTTCTTCCTTCTGCGGTTTCGCTTGGGCATCACTTCAAACTCCCGGAGGTCCAAGGTCCCCAGGGTCACTTCCACAGTCTCCAGTTCCCCTGCAGGGCTTTCCTCCTCCTCTTCCTCCTTCTCCTCTGGGGCTGAGTGAGGTAATAAGACAGGGTTGGACGCCCCCCACACAGCACAAATCACTTGGGGCTCTCGGACAAGCATACCCTGCCCTCCTCTGGCCCAGTGTGAGGCCATGCAGTGCAGATCCCCACTGTGGTGCCAGCGCCTGTCACAGGGCTGCAAATCTGGCCCTGTAATGTAACAGACCCTGCTGCTTGCTCCATAGCAAAACTCACCACTTGTGTCCTCCTGTGGGGGATCCACCTCTGCTTTCCGCCGCCTCTTCTGCCAGCCCTTCCGGGGCAACCCAATGATGTCCTCCAGTGGCGTGTCCTTCCCTGGACAGCAAGGGTGCTCCTGTCATTGCCTGGGGACAGGGAGGGCCCCATGTCTCCAGGGACTGAGGGTTGGAGAACTGGCACCTCAACCCCATGGGGCAGCATCCCCTAACACGTGAGGGACTACGTCACCCCACCTGGTCTGACCCACAGGCACTGGGGCACCAGGGCTGGGCTGACTCACCATACACCTGCAGGCTGGCCAGCGTGGCATGGACTCGCAGCACCTCTCGCAGGGTGGCCCTGCGGGTGCTGAGGGGGATGTGGCAGATGCGAGGGTCGCCCTGGGTGAGAGGTGGGTTCCTGCCTCCAAAGAGCAGCACACGGTTGTGGCGCGGGGCTCGGAGAAAGATGCGCTGAGCTTCCTCCAGGTGCTGGGCCCAGGCTGCCAGCAGGTCCTGAACATCCTGGGGAGGAAGGGGTGGCACCACAGGGTCCTGAGCACAACATGTGGGCACAGGCAGGTCTGGAGCTGGGACAGATCCAGGACAAAGCAGCCTTAATTGGGACCTGACTCCCTTTTCGGAGCTTGCACCCCACCCACGCCGCCCAGCAGTGGTATGGTACCACCCCACAGAGCCAGCCATGAGCACGTCTCCCTGCCAAAAGCCCAGAGCTGTGGTCCAGCCCCACCTTGAGCAGCGCCGCCTCGTTGTAACGCCGCAGGGAGGCTCCGGCCGACCTGGGTGCTGACCCCGGAGTCTGGGCGTCCCGTAGACCCTGGGCTGTGCCCCGCCGTGCTCGCACCGTGTAGTAGTGGAAGGTCTTGTGCTCCTGCACCTGGGGGCTGCAGAGAGGGGCAGGCATGCACGGAGAGGAGGTCAGCTGATGCTCTTGGGACCCCAGAAGGCTTGTGGCTTGCCTCCGGGGCCCTAAAAATTATTACATCTCTTGCAGCACAACTGCACTTAGCCAACACTCAAGCAAAGACTAGGAGCTCTGGGTGCCCAGGGTGCGGTAAGCAGTGCGATGGAGGAATAGGGATGGGATGGCTGCCCAATGCCTAGCCCCAGCTGTCTTTGCCCAGAGGGGCAACACCAACTCTGCACCCCTGTACTCACCCCCGGAACACAGCTCCTGCGAAGTGCCCGCCGCCCATCATCAGCACAACCCAGCACGTGCTCGCACTGAGGCTCTGCAGCGACGCCGTCAGCTCCGCTGGCTCCTCACTGTCACCCTGGGAGACAGACACCCCCAATAGCACCCACAGGATCACCTCATTACCTCTTGTTGTCCCTGGAACAGAGACCAGCCCCTCTACTGGCATTAGAAGCAGGTTTCTGGGAGCATCCTGGAGCCAAAAACCAGACCACCAGCAAGCCTGGGGCTCTGACCCAGCACCAGAGACCACTCCTCCCATCATGGGACATGAGGAACTGTCAGGTAGCCATCTACACCCCAGTGCCACCTGCCTTCTCTGGGGTCCCTCTCCCAACACGCTGGGCTGTGACTTGCCTTCCCGGTGGCCAGCACGCAGCGGTAGGCAGAGATGAGCTGGCCCTTTGCATTGCGGAGCAGCACCTTGTGGGAGCGGAGGACTGGGGGGGTCCCGTAGCTGTCACTGGCAGAGGGCAGCAACTCCGACTCGCTGCTTGCATCGGAGCTCTCCGAATCGGACCCTGAGATGCTGGAAACGTCACCTGCGACGGAAAGAAAACGAAGCAGGGCAGACATTAAACAACAGCTTCCCCAAAACTTTGCAGGTGGCTCCAAGGGCCACCCCACAACCCCAGAAATGTCCCATCTGATACTCTCTACATAGCACAAGGGGGCTGTGGGCTGGGAGATAAGCATTTTGGGGCTCTGGATCCCCAGGTATATATAGGCATGGCTCAGGTAGAACGCTCCCTTCTCCCTGTATCAAGTCAGTAGGGCTCAGGAGCAGTGCTGAATCTCCAGGAGACCCCACAGAGGAAGAATAAAGCCGAGGGCTTCATCCCTACACAGAACAGCCCCAGCAACACCGCTGGTGGCCTCTGGGCTCTGCTGGGGGCAGCCCAGTTCCTCACCTGCACGGCTCTTCTCCTCAAACACTTCAACTGGCAGCGCCCGGCGCCCGAGGAGACGCTGCTTCAGGTTGAAGCGGTGCCAGTCGAGATGGTAGTGCTCAGTCTGTGGAAGAAAGAGGTTTGAGTCAGCAGGGTCTTGGGAGCCCATGGAAACCCCTGCCACCAAAGGCCCTGAGGTGACAGACTCCGAGGGCTAAACCAGTGCTGGGACCCTGCAGCGATCCTGACTGGAAGACCGCAGTGCATTAAGGAGTCAGCCACGTAACAGCTAACCCCAGCAGGCACCGGCCTGTGCCGCACGTACCATTTACCTCCAGTAAGCGACACTTTAAGCAATAGCGCGCAGGCACCGAGTGCCAGATCCCAACAGGAGGTGGGCAGCAGAGCTCCGGGAAGCAGCCAGCGCCGGGCTGCACCACGCTGGGGCTGAGCCTCGGCAGCAGGACCCTGCCAGCCCCGCTCCCACCCCACGCTGGCCGCCCGGCCCCACTCGCCTGCTCCTCCCGGCTGCCGAACACTTGCCCGCAGGTCGAGCAGCCCATCACCTCGGGGACGCCCCGGGCCTTCTCCTTGCTGCTGGCGGCCGCGGGTTTCTCTGGAAGAAGGATGAAAAGCTGCAGACGGGCAGCTCCCCTGGCTGCACAAGGGGAGAGGGGCCTCCTGGGGCTCTTCTCAGCCACCCGGGTGGCTGCGGGAAAAGCTCCGGGGACCGCGGGGTAACACTGAGGAGCCCGTTTTCCCACCCGCCAGGCAGCTCCCACGGCTGCCACGCACGCTGTGCTGGGGGGCACAGCTCCTTCTCCGCGGCTGGCGGACATGAGCGCGGCCGAACACTCCCCCCGCGCAGCCCCACGCACCGTGGCTCGCCGGTGCCGGCTCGGCGGCCCACGCCTCCGCGGCAGTTCCGGTGACGAGGGTGAGCCCACGCAGCAGGGCCGGGTCCTGGGCGGCCTCGAAAACTGACCTGCTCTCCGGGGCCGGCATCGCTCCTGCGTGGGGCGGAGAGGGGGAACGGACACGACACCGCGCCTGAGTGACGGGGGCGGCGGGAACCTCCCGCGGGTGACCGGACGACCCCCCCCCCCCCCTTCCCTCCCCGGTGCCGTTACCCCCGCGAGCATACTACCCCCCTCCCCGCCCACGATCCCTCCACCGGTAACAGGGACGCGCACCCCGCCGCTCACGTGCGACCAGCACCGCCCCAACCCGGAAACACATCACCCCCCGCTGCCTGACGTCACACCTTCCCTCTTTACGGGCCGCCGCGAGGCTCAGCTCGCCCTCCCGCCCTCCCCATTGGCCGTCCCGCGTCCCGCCCTGCGTCTGCCATTGGGCGCGGCGGCCGCCAATCGCGTTGGCGGGCGGGGCCGGGGCCGAGCGGGCCGGGCCCGGGGCCGGGGCCGGTGGCGGCGGCGGGGCCCCGCCATGGCCCACTTCGAGACGCAGTACCAGCGGCTGGAGAGCTCCTCCACCGAGTCCCCGCCCGGCGGCGGCGACCTGCTCGTCCACGTCCCCGAGGGCGCCAAGTGTGAGCGGCGGCACCGGCACCGGCACCGGGGGGTTGGGGCCTGGCCGCCGGGGAGCGGGACGGGGAACCGTGAGGCGGTGGAGAGGCCTCGGAGAGCGGTGGTGCCCGGGGAGCGGGGGGCAGATCCAGGCTGGGCCAGGCTGGGGGGAGCAGCCAGAGACCGAGGGGAGCGGGGGGGGGGTGCGGGCCGGTTTGGGCGCCGGGGGGGGCCCGGGGCGGGCGGCAGAGGTGGGGGGGCTGTGCCCCACCCGCGGGAAGGGTGGGTGGACAGGAGGGCCCCTCACCCGGCGCTTCTCCTTCGTGCAGCTCCGTGGCATCACATCGAGAACCTGGACCTGTTCTTCTCTCGCATATCCTTTTCGCAGCGGGATGCACCCCCACCGCCTCCCGGGCCCTCAGTGATGCTGGAAGCCCCGGGTTTGGTGTAACTCGGAGCCGGGGCAGCGTCTGCCCCTTCCCGTCGGGTGCCCGGAGGCTCCCGGGGGGGGCTGGCAGTGGCAGAACCCCCGTGCCGGTGGGGTGCTGTCACCCGACCCTGAGGGGACAGACAGGTTCTCCTAGAGATCCTTGGCAGAGTGATGACAGTACTGAGTTGTAGTTTCAAGTAAAGCTTTATTTTCTTAACAGGATTTTACTATTAGCGTAGTGTTCATAATCAGGATTTCTGTAAGCAGAATCAGTGTAGTACGATTTTATAAGTAGAACAGTGCAGAATTTTATACTGCTGCTCGACTTACGGTTTCTAATCACCTGGACTCTGTGCAGATCGGGTCATATCTTAATACATGGTTTGCTGTATTAGTATAACAGTCATAATCTAGACACAAAAACCATATAAAAGAGTACAAGTCACTTACTCAAGCCTCAGAGGAAGCAGATGATGATGGGGACGTCCCAGGCTACTGGGGGGTCCTGGGTCTCACTGTCCAGCAGCTGTTCTGGTCCAAGTTCCCACTTAGGACTTGCAACTCCGTGATTTTGTGGACAGTGTTCTGGGTGTGGTTACACTTCCCTGTTCTGTGATGGGGTCATCACCTCCATCAGGTTGGCCAGATGCCTGGGACTTTCAAGGCCAGCACAGAAGGGAGTAATCAGTCTGGCACTCAGGAATCTTGAGGCTGGTAGGGAGGGAAAGAAATCTGTTCAGCTTGTCTGCTTGGTTCACAGGGTCTTCTGGGTCTGATAATGAGGGAAAGGGAACTAATAGGTGACCCACTCAGTCACAGAGAATGGCTGCCTGCCTTATAAAGTGGTGTTAGTTATGCTAACCACATTACCAGGAGTTGGGAGCAGAGGGTGCTGGCTACAGGTGCTAGGGGTATTAAATGCATTTTTCTTTCTTGCCTCTGTGTTGTCCTGCCTGCCCTGCCCACCCTTGTGCGGCCTGAGGGCAGACAGTTTCTGCTCTGTGCTGGGACAGACCCCTCTCTGCGTGTTGGGTGGGGAAAGAAAGGAGCTTGGTTGGAGCCAAGTCCTCTTATCCCAGCTGTGCTGTACCTGGGCAGAGTGTGTTTCTCTGCAGTGGAGAACCAGCTTGCTGCTGAGTAGGGGTGGGAGGGATTTTCCGTTGGTGGTGGAGGGAGAACTGTCTGGGGAGCTGCGGATGCCAGTGGGACAAACTTCTCCATCCTTCGTCAGAGGGAAGGAGTCTCCAGACTGTTCTCCTTGACTGTAGTTTTCACGTCTATAACCTGCATCAGAAGAATGGCTTCACTTGCATGCTCATTGGAGAGATCTTTGAGCTCATGTAAGTGCAGGTTCCCCTTCTGTTGTGGCTGTGACAGCTGCTGGGGAGCAGCCACAGGAATCTGCCGAGCTCCTGCACGGGAGGGTTCCCTTTACAGGTGTCATGTCTCCCTGTCATTAGGGTTTTCCGTGCCCCAAACCTGCATTCCACTTTGAGGAACTGGTGCCCTTGAGCTTTCCTGCTGCCGTGACTGTGGGAATGCATCTCCATGACACACGACCCTGCCTGCTTCTCATTTTGGGGGCAGAAGAACGATTCCCTCATGCCTGCTCCCTTTTTTCACAGGCAGTTCATCTTTGTGGTGGCGTTCACCACCTTTCTCATCAGCTGCGTCGATTACGACATCCTCTTTGCCAACAAAGCCGTAAATCACAGCCAGCATCCCAGTGAGCCCATTAAGGTGACTCTGCCAGATGCCTTCCTGCCTCCAAATGTCTGCAGTGCAAGGTAGGGGCAGCGGAGGGGGCATGTAAGCTACTGCTCTTGCTTTCTCAGGTACTCGGGGCACCCGCCCGGGCCTGTCTCCCACTACTTGCCTTTTCTTGCTCGCAGAATCCAGGCAAACAGCTTCCTCATCTGCATCCTGATGATAGCTGGGGTTTTCTGGATCCACCGACTTGTCAAATTTATCTACAACATTTGCTGCTACTGGGAGATTCACTCCTTCTACATCAATGCCCTCAAAATCCCTATGGTAAGTAGCCGGGCCAAGGGCTGGATGTGGGGCTGCTGAGGGATGTGGGAGGCATTTGCTGGGTGTTTAGAAGCAGCTCACCTTCACGGCTCTCTGGTGCCAGCTTCTTCAGGAGACCTGTACCGAGTGCTTTTTCCTCTGCTCCATAAACACACGGGTCTTCTCTCAGCCTCTTCACCAGCAGCCAACTTATTCCGTGTTAACCCCTTTCTGCCCAGCTTGCCTCTCTGCCTGCTGGCATGCGCCTCTGCCATCTGCCACCCAATATGTTTATTCTTTGGTGATGGCCTTTTCTGTGATGCCTATCAACAGAGAAGGCATAAACGAGGAGATCCTCGTATCTGCCTGGGTTGTGGACAATATCATCTTCCTTGTTCACTGTGTGGGGGGAAACTGAGGCATGGAGCTACCTAGTTGGTGAAGACCACATTGGAGATTGATGTGTCAAAGATGGGGTTTGAGGCTTGCACATATATCCTAGTCCAGAGTACTTGCTCTGATGGACAACATCAAAAGGTGTGTGCGCATCTTTTGAGGAAAGACTGCGTCTCGAGGATGGTGGGGTGAGCCAAGAGGCTTGGTTTGCCCCTAGGTTTTCCACAGGCTCCCTCTGGGACACTGCTTAAGTCCCTTCCCCTGTTGACTCCAAATGGCAGCTCTGGGAGGACCCATGGGAGCCTGGAGCTGTGTTCGTGCCTCCAAGGCAGCTGGCGTGTGAGTGGCTGGGAAAGTCATCCGTGCTAATCTAGGGGTAAAGGGCACCCGGCCAAGGAGCGGGGTTTGCTCGCTAAGGCTGAAGTGGTGCAGGGAGGTGCCTCGTGTCCCGGTGTTGCATGTGCCTCGTCAGCACCCCGAGGTGTGCGCTGGGTCCTGCTGTTGGAGTGGGCTCAGCCCAGCCTCTGCCCCTGTACGCATCCTGCCCCTAACCTTGCTGCTTGCCCCCTCCCAGTCCACCCTGCCGTACTACACCTGGCAGGAGGTGCAGGCCCGCATTGTGCAGATCCAGAAGGAGCACCAGATCTGCATCCACAAGAAGGAGCTGACAGAGCTGGACATCTACCACCGCATCCTCCGCTTCAAGAACTACATGGTGGCCATGGTGAACAAGTCGCTGCTGCCCATCCGCTTCCGCTTGCCCCTGCTGGGAGACACCGTCTTCTACACGCGTGGGCTCAAGTACAACTTTGAGCTCATCTTCTTCTGGGGACCCGGCTCCCTCTTCGAGAATGAGTGGAGCCTGAAAGCTGAGTACAAGCGGGCTGGGAACCGCCTGGAGCTGGCTGAGAAGCTCAGCACTCGCATCCTCTGGATCGGCATTGCTAACTTCCTCCTCTGCCCCCTCATCCTCATCTGGCAGATCCTCTACGCCTTCTTCAGCTACACAGAGATCCTGAAGCGGGAGCCGGGCAGCCTGGGTGCCCGCTGCTGGTCTCTCTATGGCCGCTGTTACCTCCGTCACTTCAACGAGCTGGACCACGAACTGCACTCACGCCTCAGCAAGGGGTACAAGCCAGCTTCCAAATACATGAACTGCTTTATCTCCCCCCTCCTCACCATCGTGGCCAAGAATGTGGCCTTCTTTGCTGGCTCCATCCTGGCTGTGCTCATCGCTCTCACCATCTATGATGAGGATGTGCTGGCGGTCGAGCATGTCCTGACCACAGTCACCCTGCTCGGGGTGGGCATCACGGTGTGCAGGTAAGGTGGGGCTGTGCTGCCCCTGCACTCCTGGCAGTGCTGTGGGGAGCGGTGGGGCTGACAACCGTCCCTGCAAACATGCTCTTTGGTTGCCAGTGGACGTGAATCTGCCTGAGTGAAGGGCAGGGCTGGGGAGAGTTGGGGACGGGCAGAAGAAAGGGGCGGTGGTGATCTTGGGTGCAGTGGTTGCATGGGCTGAGCTGGCAGGAAGGTTCTTCTTGGGCATGAAGGCTACAGGTGGAGCTGTGATACAGGCCAGTCACCCTGCCCTCCCAGGAACTGAGGTGTGATGCTGTGATGTTTCCCTGTCCTGTCCTACAGGTCTTTCATCCCTGACCAGCACCTGGTGTTCTGCCCAGAACAGCTGCTGCGAGTCATCCTGGCGCACATCCACTACATGCCTGACCACTGGCAGGGCAATGCCCACCGCTATGAGACCAGGGACGAGTTTGCCCAGCTCTTCCAGTACAAAGCGGTGAGCTTGGCTTGTGTGGGACTGGGATGGGGACTCACCCCCATCCCTGCAGGAGGGAGAAGCTGCCGGAGAGCCGAGCAGCTCCGGGGCTGGCAGAGGAACAAGGCAGCTTTCTCAGAGACACCCTGCCCCAGAAGACGGAGGGCTGGAGCTGGGGGCTGGCTTTGGGATTGCAGGTTTTTTGACGTTCTCAAGCTTGTGCTGAGCCCATCATCTCTGTGCTCAGGTCTTCATCCTGGAGGAGCTCTTGAGTCCCATCATTACCCCCCTGATCCTCATCGTCTGCCTGCGGCCCAAGTCCCTGGACATCGTTGACTTCTTCCGCAACTTCACGGTGGAGGTGGTGGGTGTGGGTGACACCTGCTCCTTTGCCCAGATGGATGTGCGCCAGCATGGCCACCCAGCGGTAGGTCCCGTGGGTGGCAGGAGGGCAGCCGGGGCTCCCCACCAGCGTGTCTGGTCCTTTAGACCCATGAGAGGCCGTAACTCACCGCTCCTGGCAGCCCTTAGCCCAGCCACCTGCCTCTCTGCTGGGTGTCCCAGGCTGCCAACACAGGTCACCGGCCCCAGAAGGCGCTTGTGGTTCAGGTGTGATTATTAACCTGATATTTTGTGAACCAGGCTTTGTCGTTTCTTTACCTGATGTTGTTGCCTGTCTTCACAACCAAGAGTCCTGTGTCCTCAGGGGAGAAGAATGGGGATATTTGGACATTTAGAAGGCGTGATCACTGAGAACTGACTTAAAGAACCTGGACTGCTTGTGCCCAGGAGAGAGGCAGCCTTGGGGAGATGAGAAGCATTTTCCATTATGTAAAAATCTAGTGTGGAGGGAAAGGAGATCCATCTGTTTCCTGTGCATGGGAATTTAGATTACTTGTCAGGAAAGACTCCCTAGTGACAGGGCTGTAAACTAGAGAGGAGTCGGTCTCACTGGCAGGAAGCTTTTAAGAACAGTCATTTGTTGGCTGTAGCCACTCCTGCTGCGAGCTGGAGAGTGCAAGACAAGGCTTTCAGCTCTGCATTTTGTGACTAGTCCTCATCTCTCAGGTTCCTTTGCGGCGGTGCACGTTCTGGGGTGGAGGTGGAAGGCGCTGTGCTTGCTGCTTCTTCCCCAGACTGTGAGGGCTGAACTGGTGTGGGGCTTTTGGTGTAGCGCCTGCTACATGTGGAGCCATGGCCCAGCTTGTGCTGGGTGTCGCGTGCTTTGCCCAGACTGCAGGATTCCTGGGCCTGGCGGGGGTGTCAAGCAGCAGATGCTGTCCCTCATTACCTGTCTGTGCTCTGCAGTGGATGTCAGCAGGAAAGACGGAGGCCTCCATTTACCAGCAGGCCGAGGACGGCAAGACAGAGCTGTCCCTCATGCACTTTGCCATCACCAACCCCAAATGGCAGCCGCCCCGCGAGAGCACGGCCTTCATCGGCTTCCTGAAGGAGCGGGTACACCGGGACAGCAGCGTGGCGCTGGCTCAGCAGGCTGTGCTCCCCGAAAACGCCCTCTTCAGCTCCATCCAGTCCCTGCAGTCGGAGTCAGAGGTGCCCAGGCTGGGGAGGATGCGGGATGTTTTTTGGGGTGCTTGCTGGGTGCTGGCAAACTGGTAATCAGGCCCTCTGGGCAAATTTGCTCTTGCCTAGGCTGTATCTGGCGATGCAAATGTGATAGATCAGCACTAGTTGGGACTGTTGTTAGGTTTCTAGAGAAGGCAACAGGCTGTCCTGGGGCCCTGTGAGGTGGGAGAGGGGCTGAAAGAGCTGCGGTGCCTCAGTTCTGCGTTGCTGGCAGGGATCAGCCCTCCAAGTCTGCATAGGACAGTGATTCTCTCCTTTTCAACTCTGCAGCCGCACAGCCTGATTGCCAATGTGATAGCGGGCTCCTCGGCACTGGGCTTCCACATGGGCCGGGATGGACAGGCCTCCCGCCATCTCTCCGAAGTGGCCTCAGCCTTGCGTTCCTTCTCCCCGCTCCAGTCTGCCCAGCAGCCTCCCAGCAGCTTTCAGATGGCGGGAAGGGATGGAGAGGGAGCCCAGCCTCGGGGCACCAGTGCCATGACAGCCTCTGGGTAAGCTGCAGGCTGGAAAGGGGCAGGCAGACACCTTGCAGATTCCTTTAACCTTTGACCAATTGCCATCCTGTTATCCTAGATGCATGGAGACATTTGTTTCTACAGCCTGGGACAGCAAGGGACATGTTCACAAGCAGAGTTAGGCCCAGGTGCTTAGACTGGCACCAAGGGGCAATGTCAGGGTTCTGGTGTTCTCCTGTAGGTACCACTGTGGTGAGAAAGCCCTGGCAGGGAAGAGGCAGCGCTGTAGCAGGGCTGGTCACGTTGTGAATCTGGGGAGATGCCACAGAGGGCCTGTTCCTACGCAGCCCGGGAGTGGATCTCTGCAAGCCTGACGTTAGAGCGGAGAGGGGCTGGGCGGTGTTGGGGGCACCTGGGCAGCAAACACCACTTGTGTGTCCCATGGCAGTGCCGATGCGAGGACTGTGAGCTCGGGGAGCAGCGCCTGGGAGGGTCAGCTGCAGAGCATGATCCTGTCGGAGTACGCCTCCACCGAGATGAGTCTCCATGCGCTCTACATGCACGAGGTGAGCGGCCTGGAGCTGGGCAGGCAGGACTGGGGTACCCTCTCTGGAGTGACTGGGATACCAGTGTGAGTGAGAGCTGAGACCAGTCTGTGTGCAGTGCTGGGGAGAGGGTGTGTTCGGGTGTCTGGGCCCTCCCCCACAGCTGACTCACTCATCTTTTGGCCTGAAGTTGCACAAGCAGCATGCCCAGCTGGAGCCCGAGCGGCACACCTGGCACCGGCGAGAGAGTGACGAGAGCGGGGAGAGCGCCCATGAGGAGCTGGACGCTCAGCGGGGTGGCCCCGTCCCCATCCCTCGCTCTGCCAGCTACCCCTTCTCCTCGCCGCGGCAGCCTGCCGAGGAGACGGCCACGCTGCAGACCGGCTTCCAGCGGCGATACGGTGGCATCACAGGTACGGGAGCCAGGGCAGAGGTCTGAGCTCCGGGTCAGAGCCCCAGATCCGATGCCCTGTATGGACTGGCATGAGCGGCCTGCCTGCCCCTGAAGACTGTCAGCCCCCAAGGGAACTAATCTTCCTCTTTGCCTCTCCTGCAGACCCGGGCACAGTACACAGAGCCCCGTCCCACTTCTCCCGCCTCCCTCTGGGAGGCTGGGCTGAGGACGGGCAGTCAGCGAGACACCCAGAGCCTGTGCCGGAGGAGAGCTCAGAGGATGAGCTCCCACCACAGATCCACAAGGTAGGGGTGAAGGCTGTGGCTGAGAGGAGGAACGTGTACTTAGGATGGTCCTGATAGGTGCCACATCCCCTCTCTGTCTTGCAGGTATAGCCCTGTAGACTGGGCATCTTGTGGGGGTCGCAGTCTGGGAGCCGCCTGGGCAGCAGGATGTGGCGCCATCCTGTTTCTTCTCCCGTCCTGAGTGGACTGGATGGCCCCGGGCTCCGTTTTGTTGCCATCAATTGCCGAAGAGACAAAACTGCCAGGCCAGCGGCTTTGCGGTGGCACCTTTGTGTCCAGCCATGTGTCAAGTCAACGCCACTCTGACTCTGGTGGGGTGAATGCGTGTGTGAGTACATACATGTGTCTGTGTTCACATCTGTGTCGTCCGTGTTGGAGGATCGCTGCAGAGCCTGTGAAAGCTGACGTGACAGGACTGGCAGCGGGCAGCCGTGGACTGGGTTGGCGGTGGCGGCAGCAGCTGCTGTTCGAAGGGATGTGAGATGGCACCAGCTCCAGATGTCCGCCCGGAGCTGGGACCTGCCTCCAAACTGAAGGCAGGAGCTGTTTGGGGGGCTCTAGCTCAGCCTGTAGCACCACACCTGCCCTGCCTGCAGCCCTGAGGTGGTGCCCAGGGCCATGCTCACCCCCTGGAGAGGACCAATGTTGTGCCCCTCAGCCCAGAGCAGGACAACAGTGGGGCAGTTCCCCGCTCCTCTGCCCCACCACCCTGCAGCGGGATGGGTCCTGGCTGCTGCTGGTGTTGGTAGGGGCGGGATCTAGAGCTGGTGGGAACCGCTCTGGCCGGGATCTGGGGATGCTGCAGCCCTTCCTCGACTCTCACGACAGCTGACCCCGTCCCCTGCACATGAGGAAGAGGCAGTGGGGTGAAAATCGTGGGTCCCTGATGTCCCTCCCAGCTGGCAGCCTCCATGCCGTACCTCTGGGCTAGGGCAGCAGCCTCCCCGCTGCGTGGCACCCACGGGATGGGGGCTGCTAGTGGGCCCTCCTGCAGTGCCAAAGAGACCCCAGTGTGGCCCAGCCCGGCGTCTCCCGGGGGTGCTCGCAGCCCCCCCTCAGAGCCCACCCTGAAGGTCTTGTGCTCTGTGTATTGGTTCCCTTCCCTCGGGCATGATAAAGGCCTTTTCCCCGTGCCCAGGCTGTGCTGCATCGGGTCTGTCCTCCTGATGTGGCCGTTTCTGTGGTGTGGGGCCCTTCCTCTACCCAAGCAAAGGCGTCAGTCTGTCCCGCATCTCACCCGGGGTCATCCAGCTCCTTCTTCCCTCCTGAAACCATCCTTTTGCTTGCAACGTGGCTTTGGCTGCTGTGAAGACCATATACCAAGCAGCTGCCTGGCGGGGGTAAGGAGGGGTGCCCCGAACCCAGACGGGAGATGCAAACACCAGCCCAGCCCCGATCAGAATCCCGGCTGTGCAGCGCGGCTTCAGACAAGACCTTCCCACTGTCGTTCTGGTTTCCCTCTCTTCTCTTCCAGTGGCGGCTCGTGAGGATCTGCATCCCAGCTAACCCCTGCCAGGCTTTGCTTTCCCCTCCCTGCCTCCCCCCTTGCCTCTGGCCGGGGCCGCTTGCTTTTGCCGTGCCCTCCGCAAGCACCGCAGGCTCTCCGCTGCCGTCCCTGGCGTCCCGGGCCGGCTCTTCCCCTGCCAGGGTGCTCGCCCTCTGCCCTTTGAGCCTGGGCTGGGTGCGCGCTGCCGAACCACCCGCTCCCGGGGCGGGGGTGCACCCCGGAGCAGGGCCGGGGTGCTCACGCAAGGGCCAGCTCTTTCGGGGTGTTGGGTTCCCTGCTGCGATGAGGACGGACGGACGGACCGGAGCTGCAACTGCTCGGGGGTCCGTGAGAGACCAAACGGAGCTCAGAGTGGGGGGGTCAGCGCTGAGCCAGGCGGAGGGTTTGTGGATGTGGGTGCTGCTGGGGTCCTCCCACGGAGGAGCGGCTGCAACAACCCCACAGCAGCTCCGGCTTGAGGCTGTCAGGGCACGGTGAAGGGAAACTGAAAGCAAGTTTCCCCGGGAGCCCGAGCTTTCCTATGGCTTCCCCTGCCAGCCCTGCACAGGGGTGAGCCTTGGCGGGACCCTGCCCCTGGGCTTCCCCGGGGTGGGTGGGGGGCTGCTGACCTCGAAGCTGGGCAGCTGAAGGCTGGCAGCGCCCTGGGGCCGGGGGGGGGGGAGGTGTGGGCCTTTCCCTGGGCTGTCAGGGGGGAGAGGCTGGGCAGAAGCAGGCCAGTGTCCTTGCTGCATGTTGTGCTTGTGTCGTCGGTGTCCCGTGTGCATGGCGAGCTGCTCTTTCTTCATCTCCCTCCCGGGGTGTGCGGGCGCAGGGGGCCCTGGGGAGCGTGGTATCGCACCCCCCCCCCCCCCCCCGCGCCCTTGCTGTACAGCTGTATAGCCGTCTAATAAAGATGGGCTGTATCACCATCCCTGCCCGTGTCCGAGTCTCCCTTCACCCTAAAGCAACGTGCTGCCCGGCCGGGGCACGGGGCACGGAGGAAGCCGGACGAGCCGGTGGCAGGAGGCTGCGAGGTGCCTGCCTGCCCCCCCCCCGCCCCCCCACGGGTGGGCTGGGAGCTCCCCGCAGCTCAGTCTCGGGGGCCGCGGAGAGGGGAGAGGCAGGAGCTATATTTATCCCCGGCAGGGCAGCGCCCAGTCCTGCCTGACCTCTGCGGCGGGCAGGGCCCTCGCTGGGGCTGCCGGGGCTATCGCGACACCGCAGGGCTGGGCTGGCGGCGGCGATAAGCGGGAGCGGAGTGCCTCACCTCGGCTACCGGGACCTTCCCCACGCTCCCCCGACCCCCAGCCCGGGAGCTGGCTCCGCGCCACCGACACCTCCCCGGTCCCATCTCTGCGGGGGGGGGGGGCTGCGGGGCTGGGGGGGGGGCGCAGGTCCGTACCGGCTGCGGCTGGGCACCGGGGCGGGGGGGGGGGGGAGCGGACACGCACACGCACACGCACGGCGGGGGATGCGGCCCCCGGGTGCAGCCCCGGCGCCGGGGAGGGCGCGCAGGAGCCCGGCGGCACCGGGGGCGGGGAGCGGGGCGGAGCGGCGCCGGGGCCCGGCTGGCGGCGGCGCGGGGGGGCCCGGAGCGGGCCGGGACCGGCGGGCCCGGGGCAGGTGAGCGGGAACCGGGCCCGGGCGGGTCGGCGGGGCCGGGTCGGCGGCGGCGGGGCCGGTTCGGCGGCGGCGGGGGCGGCTGGAGCCGCGGCCGCCGCCGGGGCCGAGCGGCGCCGGCACCTCCCGGGCATTGTCACGGCCCCCGCGTGTCCCCGTGCACAGCCCCCGCGTGTCCCCTGCCTTTGTGCTTGCGGTACCCCTGCGTTGCCCAGCGTTACTCCCTTGCCCGGCATGCCGCTGCATTGCCCCCATTGCTTCCCGCCCCCCCCCCCTTCCCCCCCAGACTGGTCCCAGCATACCCACTGGCTTCCTATCCCCGCGGCTCTCGCTGCCCTCCACGTCCCGAGGGCCCAGGCGGCTCTTGGGAGGGGGGGCTGTGCAGTGTAACCCCCCTGTCCCGGGCATTTGCAGGGCCCACAAGCGGATCCTGGCGTGGTGCTCATGTCCATCCCCATGCAAAGCTGGCCCTACTTGCATGCACGTCCCGTGTGTCCGCATCCAGCGGTGCTCGCCCCTGTCCCCATGCGTGCCCCGCTCTCCTCGGCCGTGCCACCCCGCCGCGGCCATACCCACCAGCCCACCGTGCCACCTCGCTCCAGCCCCTCTTCTCTTTTGCAGCCCGTGACCTGCCAGGATGGCGGTGATGGGGGGCTACTGTGAAGGCAACAGCTCCGTCGCCCAGGCCTGGGTGCAGCAGGGCTTCCAGCCCTGCTTCTTCTTCACGCTGGTGCCGGCCGTGCTGCTGAGCGTCTGCCTGCTGCTGGGCGCCCTGCAGTACGCCTGCTACGTCCGCTTCGGCCGCGCCATGGAGCCCAAGTACATCCCCCGCTCCCGCCTCTACCGCGGCCAGGTCCTGCTCTCCCTGCTCCTGGCCCTGCAGCCCCTCGGCGGGCTGTTGTGGCAAGTGGGGGGGCCGGGCCGGCTCTACGGGTACATGTTGCTGCATGCCTGCCTCTGGGCCCTCAGCTGGGGCTGCGCCGTCGCCCTCCTGCAGCTGGAGCATACGCGGGTGCTGGCTCATGACCGGACGCGGGGCCATGGCACCGTCCTCCTCCTCTTCTGGGCTCTGGCCTTCGCCGCCGAGAACCTGACCCTGGTGTGCTGGAGGAGCCCGCTGTGGTGGTGGGTGCTGGAGGACACCAACCAGAAGGTGGGCTGGGGGGGGCTGTGGGCAGGGAAGGGGGACGGAGCCCTTTGGGAGGGATGGGGCTGCAGCATCGCGCTGCTGGGGTAGGGTGTGCGTGTCGTGCCCTGCCATGCCCAGGGTGTGCACGCTGCTGGGATACACTCACGCATCTGCCATGTGTCTCAGCCCGGAGCCCAGCTATCGCACACCTCTCCACGCTCCCACACGGCTCAGCTCCTGCTCCTGCCTGGCCCAGCCCCAGGCGCACGGGTGGGGGTGTCTGCCTACTCCCCACAGACCTTTACCCCCCTACTCCCCCTGGGATAGGGGCATCCCAAGCTGGAGGACACAGAGCCACACATGGCAGGGAGGAAGGAGGGGGTCTGAGTGGTGCCTGAGGTGCTTTGCTCAGCCAGGGGCTCCCTCCGAGCTGCGTGGGGTGTCCCCTGGCTGCACTGCACCCCATCCCCGTGCCCCACTCCTTGCCTCTCTCAGCTCATACACATCCCATGGCCGGTCAGGCTGTGCCAAGGGGGCCGGCTGTGGCGCTGACCCCCCACTCTCCGTCCAGGTGCAGTTCGGCTTCTGGCTGCTGCGTTACATCTGCACATTCATGCTCTTCATCCTGGGCATGAAGGCCCCGGGGCTGCCCCACAAGCCCTACATGCTGCTGGTCAACGAGGAGGAGCGGGACGTGGAGAACAGCCAGGTGAGTCCCGGGGCCAGAGCACTTTGGGGACACGGCCAGGGAGGAGCTGGGGACAAAATGGAAATACAGCTGCCCTCGGATCAGCATCTTCAGGAGACCGGGGAGGAGCGAGGTTTAGGGGTGCCCAAGCTCCCTGCCCCGCTCTCAGCAGGTTGCAGCCCTGCTGGGAGGACAGAGCGGGGGCCCTGGGAGGACGGGGCTGGTTTTCTTGGTGAGGTGTTCCCCGGGGCTGCTGCCAGCTGGGCTGGGGTGCCGGGGCAGTGACCCCCCACTCTGCTGTCCCCCAGCCGCTCCTGTCCGACGCCGGCAGGACCACCTCCACCTGGAAGGATTTCCGGAGGAAGCTGCGGCTGCTGGTGCCGTACATGTGGCCGAGGGGCAACCACCTCCTGCAGGGGCTGGTGCTGTTCTGCATGGCCCTCATGGGGCTGGAGCGGGCCATCAACGTCTTTGTCCCTATCTACTACAAGAACATCGGTGAGGCGCCCGGAGCTTGGTGTGTGAAGCTGCCCACGGCCTCACCAAGTGCTGGGGGATGTCGCAAGTGACTGGGGGGGGGCTGCAGGGACCTGGCAGGAGTAGGGATCCAGGGGGTCAGGGACCGGTGCTGGGTGCTGGTTCCCACGGGGCACCCGGCGATGCTCCCTGCCCCTCTGCCCTGACCCTTGCCACCCTCTCCCCAGTGAATGAGCTGACAGCGGGCGCTCCCTGGCACACCCTGGCCTGGACTGTCTGCATCTACGTGGGGCTGAAGTTCCTGCAGGGTGGAGGTGCTGGTAAGGACAACCAGGAAGGATGAGGCAGTGAGGAAAGACTGCGTGGGGCACATCATGCCAGAGCTGGGGTGGCTGGGGATGACCGTATGGCCCCATCCCTGCTGCTTCCTCTTGGGAGCAACAACCAGGGATAGCCCTGGGGGGGCTCCATCCCAAATCCCTCTTTCCCAGCTGGGCTTTCTGAGCTAACGGCATGCCCCGGCGGCGCCGGTCCCCGCTGACCGTCCTGTGATGCCCCACAGGCTCCACCGGCTTCGTGAGCAACCTGCGCACCTTCCTGTGGGTGTGGGTGCAGCAGTTCACCAACCGGCAGGTTCAGGTGCAGCTCTTCGCCCACCTCCACGGGCTGTCCCTGCGCTGGCACCTGGGGCGTCGCACCGGCGAGGTCCTGCGCAGCGTGGACCGGGGCACCAGCAGCATCAACAGCCTGCTGAGGTCAGAGCGTGCCCGCGGCGGGCGGGGGGTGGCCAGGCAACCCCACTGGGACGAGCTGATGCACCGTCCCCCCTCCCGCTCCCCAGTTACATCGTCTTCAGCATCATCCCCACCATTGCGGACATCGTCATCGGCATCGTTTACTTCACCTCGGTCTTCAGCGCCTGGTTCGGCCTCATCATCTTCGTGTGTATGAGCCTCTACCTGAGTGAGTGGGGGTGTGGGGGTGCCGGGCCGGGCCGGGGGGCTGTGGGCACCTGCTGACACAGCCCCCCTCCTGCCCACAGCTCTGACCATCTTCATCACCGAGTGGAGGACCAAGTACCGGCGGGACATGAACACGCGGGACAACGAGGCGAAGTCCCGGGCTGTGGACTCACTCCTCAATTTTGAGACGGTACCGTAGGTGGTGAGGGGTCGCTGAGGACTGCCTGGCACTGGGGGGGGCTGATCCGGGCACCGACCCTGGCTCCGTGTCCTTCAGGTGAAATACTACAATGCGGAGAGCTACGAGGTGAACCGCTTTAATGATGCCATCGTTAAGTACCAGGTACAGGGTGCTCAGCATCAACAGGGGAGTTGCAGGGGGAAGGAGATGAGTCTCAAAGACATCTGCGGGGAGGATGGGGCTCGCCATGGGTCTGGTTTGGAGGTGGCAGCATCCCGGGTGACCTTGCCTCTTCCAGGTCTCGGAGTGGAAGGTCAGTGCCTCGCTGGGCCTCCTCAACCAGACCCAGAACCTGGTCATAGGCTTGGGGCTGCTGGCGGGGTCCCTGCTCTGTGCCTACTTCGTCACCGAAAACAAGCTGCAGGTAAGGCTGGTGCCAGCCTGGGCAGCCCCTGGGCCTGGGGTGGGGCCTCGGGGCTGGTGGTGATGGGCACCTCTCCCCTGCCCCTTCCAGGTGGGGGACTTTGTCCTCTTCGGCACCTACATCATCCAGCTCTACACGCCGCTCAACTGGTTCGGGACTTACTACAGGTACCACTGGGAGCTTCAGGGGTGCCTGAGGTCCCCCTCCCCATGGGCACCTGGGTCGGGATGTGGTCCCCCCAAACCCTTCCCTCTGATCTTTGTCCCCTTCCAGGATGATCCAAAACTCCTTCGTGGACATGGAGAACATGTTCGAGCTCTTCCACGAGGAGCAGGAGGTGGGTGCCACCTACCCGGACCCCGTTCCCTGGCACAGCCCCGTGGTCCTGCCCTGGGGAGGGGCTGGCTCTGAGGCCAGGTCTCTCCCCCTGGCAGGTGAAGGACGCGGTGAACGCCGGTGACCTGTGCTTGGAGGACGGGCGGATTGAGTTTGAGAATGTGCACTTCAGCTACATGGATGGGTACGGGGCGGTGGGCGCAGGGTGGCAGGGTGGGACGAGTCAAGCTGTGGGGGACTGGCAAGGGGACGCGGGGCAGCGGAGGTGGCCCTGAGCCCCTCTCCATCTCCCTCTCCCAGGAAGGAAATCCTGCAGGACGTCTCCTTCTCCGTGATGCCCGGGCAGACCCTGGCCCTGGTGAGAGCGGGACCTTGGGTGTGGGTTCACTGCTGGAGGGTGGGATGGGTGAAGAGGGGCTGGGAAGTGTGGGGGTGGGATGGACAGACCCCCAGCGGGGCTGGGCCCTCCCTGCCCAGCCCCTGGCCTCCAGCAGCGGGGAGTCTCTGGTGTCTCCAAGTCCCTTTACCTTCGCGTGCAGGTGGGACCTTCGGGCTCAGGGAAGAGCACCGTCATCCGCCTGCTCTTCCGCTTCTACGACGTGTGGGGTGGCTGCATCCGCATCGACGGGCAGGACATCTCCCAGGTGAGGGTGGGAGACCTCCAGGGACCAGCAGCGGGGGAACACCCCAGCTCCTCCGGGCCTCACAGCACTGCTCGGTGCAGGCACTGGCATCTCCCCAGGGCAGGGGTGAGCACGCAGCCCCCGCAGCCTCTTTGAAGGCTGATGTCTGCTCCAGGAGCGGGGTGAATGGTGCAACTGCAGGACCCCTGGGCTGAAATGCTGGAGGGGGGCCAGAGCTCCCCAGGAAGGACTGGGGCACTGACAGGGCCCCCCACACTGCAGGGCGGAGATGCGACTGAGCCTGTGGTCCAGGGAGAACCCTGGAGCAGACAATCTGTGAGGAGCAGGGGGTGGGGCTCACAGCTGAGGAGGGGGTAGACTTGGGTTTTGGGGGTGTCTTTGTCGGGGGTGTGCATCTGGCTGAGCCCTACCCCCCCCCCGCCCCGTCCCCCCCGCCTCCCCAGGTGAAGCAGGCGTCGCTGCGCGCTCACATCGGGGTGGTGCCCCAGGACACGGTGCTCTTCAACGACACCATCGCCAACAACATCCGCTACGGACGGATCCTGGCCACCGACCAGGAGGTGCAGGAGGCGGCCCGGGCTGCTGACATCCACGACCGCATCCTCTCCTTCCCCGACGGTGAGACCCCCGCGGTCCCCTCCCTGCCCTCCTGGGGTCCCCGGTGAACTTGTAGCTGCCCTTGGGTGACATCCCCCCATGGGGACATCCGTGCGACCCTGTGCCTTGTTTTGCCTCTCCCTGCCATCTCTCTGGGGTTAAATCAGCCCCTGGGCAGGGATGGGCTGAGGCTTTGCCAGGTCTTGGAGGGCACCAGGCGAGGCATGTTCCTGCCCTTGTGCCTGCAGGATACAACACTCAGGTGGGGGAGCGGGGGCTGAAGCTGAGCGGGGGGGAGAAGCAGCGCGTCGCCATCGCACGCACCATCCTGAAGGGTCCCCGCATCATCCTGTTGGATGAGGTAAGGGCAGCAGCCCCCAGCCCATCCTCGCCCCGCTCTGCTGCAGCCCCTGCCCCAGTGGCCGCTGGTGCTGCCCGCATCCCTTCCCCACAGGCCACGTCTGCACTTGACACAGAGACCGAGAGGAACATCCAGGCCTCCCTGGCCAAGGTCTGCGCCCACCGTACCACCATCGTTGTTGCACACAGGTAGGGAGGAGGGGAAAGGGCTGATCCGGGAGGTGCAGAGCTCTCTGAGCTGGCCAGCCCCCCACCGAGGGGCCCGCAGATCTGTCCTCCTACTCAGGAGGTGACAACCCCTGCGATTGCAGCTCCTTGCGCTGTGCAGACCTGCCCCACCCCGGACCCTCTCCCCTCGGAGCCCGAATAACACCCTGCCTTTCTCCGCAGGCTCTCCACCGTGGTGGGCGCAGACCAGATCTTAGTGCTGAAGGACGGGCGCATCGTGGAGCGAGGGAGGTGAGCACAGGGGGAGGTCTTGGTGCTGTCTGCCCCCAGGGACCCCCTCCCTGGTTGTGGGGCCAACTTGTGACCCTGCACCCCCGTGCTCTCCCCGCAGGCACGAGGAATTGCTGCAGAAGGGCGGTGTGTACGCTGGCATGTGGCTGCAGCAGCAGGCTGGCGACGAGGGCGAGAGCAAGGAGCGCCGCCCCGAGAAGCCCCCGGGCAGCAAGAAGGGGCCGTGAAGAGGACCGGGGGCTCTGCTGTGATTCTGACCTGGGGCCCAGGCCCCCACGCTGCCAGGGAGCCCTTTGCTGGCTGCAGGCCGAGACCCCTCGTGCCCTGGGAGCTGCAGGGGTTGGGTTGACACTCCACCACGTTGGCACTTGTTTGTTTGGCTGTTGTGTAGTTTCTTAAACCAGGTCCTTCTCAGCTCTGTGCCTGTGTGTTCTGGGCAGGGTAAGCACCTTCAGGACCCCCCCGGAGGGGCTGTGCTCCGGGCAGAGGCAGGCAGGGTCCCCTGGGTCAACCAGCAGCTATGCCATAGGTGTGAGATCCTTGGGCTTAGGAGAGTGAGGGGCAGAACAGGCTGTCAGCACCTGCCCCATCCCTGCACACAGGGATGTGCATGGCAGGGGGCTGCACTCCAACGGCGAAGGAAGAAGCAGCACCATTGGTGCCCACTTCACCCACCTGTGCCCCCTTCCCTTGCACCATCTTGTGCACCCATCTGCAGAGATGCACCGCTCTGGGCTGGACACCAAGCAGCCACTCCCTCAAAGCACCTCTGCACCCTATGCTATACTTTTATTTTCTCCCAAGCAGCGCTTTCACAAGTCTCAGCATTCCCTCAGCTCAACCTGACCCCACATCCTGCCCCAGGGAGTCAGTGCCAGCCGATAACCCCACCTCGGCTCTACGCTGCTGGGAAGGGGACAGCCCAGCCCTACAAGCAGAATTGGTTCCAGCAGCAAAGCTGGGAAAGCCTCACCACTCTGCATGGCCCCTGCAAGAAGCCAGCCCCCCTCTCCCCACCCCAGCGTCAGCTCCTCCCTCCAAACACCAGCATGGAAGGGCTGGCTTCAGGCTCAGGGCTGTTTGCAAGCAGGGGTTCTGTGCTGCTGCTGCCCAGGAGGGGATCCCCCGCAGCATGGCTAGGAGGAGGAAGGTGTTCCTGCCCCAGCAGCACTAAAACAGGGCCCTGGGCTAGTTTAGGGCTGCCAAGAGCAGCCAGCAGCAAGAAGGCAGCTGCAGTCCCCGCGTGTGAGCAACGCTGGCACAGTCAAGTCACCGCTGAGGTTACTTTTCAGTTAATGGCCCTTGTTAAATTAAACCAGAAAGGAAACGCAGCTCCATTCAGTCTCAGAGAGGTCCTGGGCCCCAGCCGAGTTGGGTAAGGCCCAAGGCGCTCTTGTGCATGCAACCAGCCTGGGGAGGGGGGGGGCCTGCGGCGTGAGGAAGGGGCCGCTTTCACACTGCCAAGAGGCAGCACATTCAACCGTGCCATGCAAGAGCCCATCCCAGCCCCAGCTGCTCTTTGCTGAGGGGCTGGCATGGCCCTCCCCAGAGCACGAAATCCAGCCCCTCACTACTGCAGCAGGCAGCCGTGTCCTGGCTGTACGTCCAAGCATGCAGAGATGTCCCCGCGTGGCCCCTCCCTCACCCCACAGTCCCAGCAGTGCTGCGACACGGCCGTGGCAGCTGTGGCTAAGTGCACACCGTGGGCTGCTGTTTGCTTTGGTGAGTGTGCTCAGCCTCGTCCCACGCTGTCTTCACCTCTCCAGGAGCATCAGCAATTTGCTGCACCGATTTTATGCAGGTGCTAGGGCTGAGGTGTCAGTGTGTGTGTGGTGGCTCGCTTACAACCCCCAGGGAGGTGACTTGCCTCTCTGGCAAGAGGCTCTTGTCATCAGTGTCCAGGCCAGAACCCCTCAGCATCCACATGGGAAGCCAGAGACACTCCTCAGGTCACAAGCAGGATCCCACATCTGCTGGCACACCCTGTGTCGCCTGCCTAGGACATGCTGCAGTTTGACGGCTTTGTACCGTGCGCCTGGAACGGGAAGAAGCACACAGTGAGCAAAGGAAGATGGGCTTCTTCCTCTGTCCTACAAGGGGGCACATCCAGTGCTCGAGTCCCCAGGGCTGTGTCCTCAGCAGTGACACTGCCCCTGCCCCAGGCCAGGCTGCTCTCCTGGTGAGAAAAGTGACCCTAGCCAGAGCCCAGAGGAAGCAGAACCCAGGGAAGACCCCACCATGACACAGCCAGGCTGGGATCAACCCTGCCACGGTGCAGAGCCTACAGCCAGCCTCACTCACCTGCCGCTGCGACTGCTGGTACTCGGCTTCGCTCGCTGACAGCGCCTGGGCCAGGGCCAGATCCTCCTCCTCCTGCGTGCTGCTGGGGACAGCGGTGCATTGTGTGCCTCGGCCGCCCCCGGGCTCACCGGCCCAGCGCTCAGAGCCCTTCGGGGTGGCAGGATCTCCTCTCACTGCAACCCTCCAGGACGGCTAAGGGCAGGGAGCAACTCAGGATCCCCCTCAACAGGGGCTGGGGAGGGACCAGAGGATCCAGCTGGGGCTGGCAGCCAGCACCCCCCGCCAAGGAGAACCATGTGAACTCCAGTCTGTAAGACGGTGTTTTTGGCAGCACCAGGCAATGTGCCCGAGGACGTGGGCTCCCGGGTTTCCTCTCTGAACACCCCCTACTCCACCTCTGTCATGCTCTAGCCATGCTCATTAGCTGACAAGGGGTCAGACAATGGTTTACCCTACTCTGTGCTGTCAATCCCCATCCCCTCCCAGCATCCCGGAGGGCTTTCTCACTGAACAGAGCTCTGTGATGGCTCCGGATTCTTCCTTCCCCCCCTGTCAGCCACAAAGAGGCATCATCCGGAGCCACGTGCTAAGAGGAACATCATCCCGGAGCCACATGATGCTGCCCTGGGCACCTCTCACACACAGGCTTGGGGCATGACACCACGTGTCCCTGGGCTGTACCTGGGTGGCTGCGCTGAGCTGTGTGCTGACTCTGCCAGGGACATCTCCAGAGCTCGCTGCAGCGCCTCTTCCTCGCTCTGAAACAAAACATCTTGTTACCAGCTTGGCTGAGGTGGCAGGAGGCAGCCCTGAGGGACACGTGGCAGGTACAGTCTTGCCTGGCCAAGGGTAGGTGTAATTCCCCTCTCCAAGGCCAGACACAGCCAAGTTGAAGGCCTTGGGCTCAAGACAGACCTGTGGCTCTCTCCCCGTGCCCGAGGGAGTGCGGCCCTGCCTGCCAGTGCAGGGAGCACACTAAGAATACCAGTGGGAAGCAGCTTCCAGCCTCCTCCTCCGCTCCGGGCTTGCAGAATAGAAAGACAACACCCAGGGAAAACGAGCAGTGCACTTTGTCCCTTTGGGAAAGGCTGAGCACCAAGCGCAGCCGAGAGCTTCCATTTGCAGGCACCAGAGCAAACTGATGCCCCCCTGAGCATCTGGGATCCCCGTTTGGCAGGGAAGACCCAGCTGGGGAGCACTGCAGTCACCTACAGAGCACTGGTTACAAAGCAGTTGCTGCAGTAGCTCCCCAGGGCATCGGAACCACCCAAACCCACCCCAAATGCACAGGCCAGGCCACTCACCAGCCCATTCTGCAGCAAAACAGCCGGAGGGGAGGGGCTGTGAGTCTGCAAGGTGGCTGCTCTGCCTCCTCTGCGAACGGGAGAGAAGCTGGGTTATTGTCAAGGCAGGGAACCCTGGCACTAATACGCAGCCTTGCTGATGCACAAGATGCCAGGAGCTGTCACTCCTGCATCCCACAGGGAGCCAAGCTGAGCCTGGTTGTGCCCACCTCAGAATTACGAGTTGGGCTATCATCCTACCTGGCAGGGGCTGGAGAAGAGGGGCTGTCTGCTGGCCAGGCAGCTCCACTGCTCGATCCGGTGACTGTTTTGGAGGAGGATGCGTAGGCTCTCGCAACTGCAGCGTGCCTAGGACAGACAGACAGAACAGAACTGTTTCACCATCATGGGCCATCCCTGGGCACCGAGTACCCAGGGAGATGAAGCTGGCTAAGATGCCTCCCTGGCATCCAGATCCCTCTCTTCCTCCCAACAGCACCCATATTGTGGCTCAGCTACGCCCAAGAGTTTCAAGTGCCATTTCTCTCCTCAAAACACTGTGCCAGGATACACAGAAATCATCAGCTACAGAATAAGGGGCTGGGCAGAGAAGCAAGAACAAAACAGCCTGTGGGCAGTACCAGTGGCTTTTGCTGCAGGAAGGAGAGACTGTATACGGCTGTGCTGACTCTACAAACCTTAACGCTGCTGGAGGACACCCCTGCACACAGGGCCGGGGGGGTGAGAATGCAGCAGCCGTCCCAGACAGTGGGCCAGGAGGAGCTGGGCTTCTCCCCTGCCACCCACCTGGCAAACAGCCCCACCCCTGGCAGCCTGTCTGTCCCCAGGCCCTCACCCTGCTTTGGAGAGGGGACGCCCTGCCCCGCTGCAGTCGTGGTCCAGGGGGTGCCGGTGCTTGAGGCAGTAGTTCTTGTGGCACTGGTCGCAAATCACCTTCATCATCTCCTTCTGTTTGCAGCCAGGCTTCAAACACTTGTTGGTGAAGATCTGGAAGACGACACGGCGGTGGTGAAAAGGAACACGCGCTGCAGGGCTGGGGCTGTCCCCTCCGTGCCAGGCCCTTGGCACTGACCGGCTTTCTTCACCAGAGCCTCACCCGTTGGGCTATGGAGTTTGTATCTGAATACTAGTTTTCTTTAGATAGTTTATTAGTAATTCACTCGTGCTTCGGTCTCCTTAGGCAAAGGTCTCCATGATCACAGAATGCCCAGGGACTCCTGCCCGCCTTGCCAAGGCAGTGGGGACAGCCCAGAGCCCTCCAGCTGCTGCTAGGCCGGATTCCTGCAGGGCCAGCTCCCTGTAGCAATTCCCCCTCCTGGCAAAACCAGGCAGCTAATTGCCAAATGCGTTTTCCTAATGGCAGCACGCAGTTTCCCATCCTTGTGTCCCAGGTGGCTGCCCAGCCCCACTCCATCGCTACCTCAGCCCTGGACACGCACCACAAAGCCCTGCAGATGCGCACACCTTCAGCTCACCGACCCTTCCTGCCCTCGGCCTGTGCAAACAGAGACGGCGCTGGGCAGGGCTGAGTTTTGTGTTGTTTTCATCCCACCCCTCACCCCCCCCCGGCTTCGGCAGGGACCCAGCAGAGCTCAGCAGCGAGACGGAGAGCGCCGGGTTCCTACCTTGCGCTTGCGCTGCGCGGGGTCGGACTTGCAGTCGCGGTCAATGTGCTCACCCACCACCACATCGGGCATCTCCCCCCGCCTCACGGGGACCGGGGTGTTGCAGAGGGGACACACGGGGACCTGCACATCCTGTAGCAAGGAGAAAAGGGGGCCGGGAGCACGCAGCTGGGCAACCTCGAGCGCTGTGCGGCCGTCTCCCTCCCTTTCAGGATCTGCCTGCCGCAGGTTCTGCGGTGGGGTTTGAGGTCCAACAGCTTGGTCAGAAAACCCAGCAGGTGCGACAGGCGCAGACACACACGCTGGGAAGGGAAGGCAGCAGGGCTGGGAGATGCCCAAACCGTCTCACCCAGTGGCAGAGGGCAAGCTGGAAGTTTGCAGCACTGAGATACAGCTCCTGGCTTTTACAGACAGCTCCAGGCTCAGCGCAGGACCCAAGGGGGATTGCCCAAGCAACCAAAGAAGTCCCAAATTATTCTGACCCCTGGCTGGGAAAGCTCAGCAACTCCACGCAGGAGGCTGGATCAGACCTCCTCCCCACGCTTACCTTCTTGTAGGCAGAGGTGCAGTTGTGCTGGGCGTAAGCGACGTGGTCGGTGCAGAAGATCTGCTCGCACGCGTCGCACTTCAGGGGGAGGAAGTCTGCAAGCGGGGAGACGCAGCGGGCAGAGGGGTTGAGGTCAGCGCTGCCCGCCTGCGGCCCCGGGGGGCCTCCCCGACCCGACAGCACGGCCCTGACCCGCGGCAGAGCCCGGGCCGCTTCTCTCTTCCCCCGGCACGGAAACGCAAGGGCTGCAGGCCCGTCGCTACGCTCCTCAGAAACACCTCGGGCTCCTCCCCGGCTTCAGGAGTAGCACCCTGAGGTCACGCCGAGCTCCTCGGGGGGGGGGGGGGAGGGATGCCGCCCCCCCCCCCCGCCAAGAGCCGTTACCGTCTGGCTGCTCCGCCGGGCAGAGCCGCGTACCGGGCAGCCAGCTCCGCCCCGGCGGGGGCGCCGGCCAAGGGCAGAGCGGGCGGCACGACCCTCCCCTCACCCCCCCCCCCGGTACGGCGGAGGCCGCGCCGCCTTGTCCCGGGCCCCCCCCCCCGGTGCCGCCCCTCACCCAGGCGCTGGCAGGCGGGCCAGGAGCAGTGCGCGCCCAGGTCCGGGAACTCCATGGCGGCGGCGGCGTTTCCCCCCGTCCCGCCCCGCTGCTACCGGCACCGGCTCACGCCCCGCCCACTTCCGGCACGGCGTCACCGCCGAGGGCGGAGCCAGCTCTAGCCACGCCCCCCCCCCCCGGTCGGCCCGCCTCCCGCCCCGCCGGCAGCCCCGGGGGGGGGAAGGCCGGCTCCGGGGACACCCACCCCGGCGGCAGGAGGGCGCCGCCCGCCCGTGCCCGAGGTGAGCCCGCTCCCGGGGGGCTGCTGGAATTCGGGGAGCTTCCCTCCACCCGTCCCCTGCCCCGCCCCACCAGAGACACAAAACACGGATCCTCCGCCGTGCAGCGGCGCTCCCGCCTCTCCTCAAGCCCCTCCGAGAATCTCCAGGCGCCGCATGGCGAGGCCCGGGCGAGAGGTGCCACCGCAGGAAGAAACTGGAGTACTGACCAGGGCCAGGAGCAAATTTCATTGATTGCAAAAGAACTCCACAGCCACTCAGTAGCAGAACTCAAAACAGGCAGGGGGGAAAAAAAAAAAAAACAACAGGTATCGCCCGACACTCTGTTCCAGCGGTGACATGGAAGATGATCACGATTTGCAGAAGGGGTCTCCTCGCTGAACAGCACCCGCCTGCTTTTGTCGCCTCCCCTCCAAAGACCTCTTTCCCTCCACTAGCCCGAGAGCCACGCTTGACTGTGCACACCATCCCTCCCCACAAACAAAACCAATGAAAGTTAAAATTATTTACACTTTTCGCCATTTAAAAACCCAATAAAATAAGATTGCGTATGTCCTACTGGGGGATGTGGGTATTAGCAGCAGCTACAGCTAGCTCGGTACTCTGCGTGCAAAACGAAAGACAAACAGAAGACAGACCAAAATACTGCACCATTACTAGGAAGCGTTTGCTGGGGTTGGTGTTTCGATTGTGGTGTAAGGCTTCTAGGAGCCGGCTCCTCCCCAGCTGCAGGGCAGGGGCGTCTCCCGCTCTGCCAGCGAAGGCCGGGCTCTAGAAGGATGGAAAGGATTCGTTATTCCAGACACAGCACATTAACACTGACGCGTTTCCATCCCAGTCAACACAAACATCTAAAATCCCACTGCACGTTCGCCGTGGGAGTTCTTCCTTCTTTCCAGTGACGATGGAGGAAAAGGGGGTGCATGAAGAAGACCTAAGACATGGATGCTGCTGTCATCACTGCCTCCTCCTCATCTCCTTGCTTTGGCAGCTCAGCAAGCGTGGGAGAGGGGGGAGCCGGAGCGGCAGGAGGCTCTTGTGCCTCCTGCTCCTCTCCGAGCCCCAGCTCTACATCCATTTGCTCCAGCTCCCCCTGATCCAGCAGCTCAAAGTCATCTGCTTCCTCCTCATCCTCCGGTGAAGCTGCTGCCTCTGTCTCCACCACTTCGCTCTCCGACAGCTGTGCTTGGAAGCTCAGTTTCTCTTCAGGCTCGGTGGGGAGGAATTCGGAGAGGGAGGGCCCCTCGCTGGCCTCTGAGGACCGCAGCAGGGCAGAGAGGGTGTTCTGCACCGCCGTGGTGATGGCAGTGGTGACGATCTCCTCGCTCAGCGTGTCGATGCAGATGCCCAGGCCCGGGGCAGGGACAGTCTTTGGCTCCGCGTTGCCTCCTGCCGCTTGCCCGCTCCCGTTGAAGTGCGTATTTACAAAATGGAGAGGAGACGCGAGGTGAAGGATGGAGAGGTCAGAGTCCGCGGCCTCCTTCTCTGCCGAGTCCAGCTCACGGGCAGCGTGGGCAAGCTCAGGACCCAGAGGCACACCAAACGCATCTTCATCGCTCTGTGGTCCCAGGTCTCTGGAATGATATTCTTCCACGGAAGGGAACTCTGCCAGGTCCTTGGAAAATGACTCCTCCGGCTCGCTGTGCAGGCTCTGCTGATCCAGGTCTGAAAGGCACCAGCATTAACGCACAGGTCCCCCCCCACCTTGACCCAGGGCCCTTTCACCTCCCACTCACCTCCCGCCAGCTGACACACCAGAGCTCACTTCTGGGCAGCCTCCCAGCTCTGGGAGCACAGCAGAACTGGGTCTGCAGTTATTCCCTTCTCCCAGTGGCACAACCAACATGGAACGACCCTTTTCTCATCCTGTTCTCCGTGACCCGTGCTCAGAGAGGACTTCCTTCTCCAGCTCACTCCCTCGCCATCTAGCGCCCTTCACCAAAATCCACAGGGTCAGGGAAACTGCGTACAGCATACCACTCGCCTGTTCCTCCCCAGACTCAAGTGACTACATCCGAGTGGTTACCTTCACATTCCTCACCACTAACCAGTCCTTCTCTGAGCTTGTCTGACAGGATGGGGTGTCTGAGCTGTTTCACCCAGCATCATATATATGGGCGTGTGACTACACCATGCAATTATTTATGCGGGTCTTTGTGGATGGCCTTGGTCCCTTGCTGGAGTGACAAGAGAGCATTGCCTTGTGGGGGCAGTAATTTGAGGCAGATTACTCAGGACCAGCTCATGATCAGCCACAAAGCCAGGGCATGCTGTGCTGCTATTACTGCTTCCTCCTTAAAGTGCTCTTCCCCCTGCACACAGCTAGGTTCTTTCCCTGTGTTGGGAGGGACAGCTGTTCTGTGACAAAACATTTAGCGGTCAGGAAGGCAGCAAAGTGTCCCCCCACGTACCTTCAGAAACGTCTGTCAGCTGTGGGGTGGTAGCCCTTGAGACAGAAAAGCCCCCACTCTCCAGGATGGAAGCCTCCTCGTCAGAGAGCTCAGAATCTGTGATTGACAGTGCCAGGGCAGTCTTCTTCACATCCACCTGCATGGGATGAAGGCAGAGGGACAAATTCCTGGGTGTCTGACTACCAGTGCCGTGTACAGGCCCCTCCACACAAACCAGAGCTTCCACGCAGAGGTCCTTGCTGGAGAGACTCTGCACAGGGACATCAGGAAAGCATGAGGGGGCTGGGCAAAGTGCCCACTGCACTGCCAGGGAAGGACAATTTCAGTTCACTGGCTTTCCTGCAATAATTCACTGCCCGAAGCTTTGCCTGCCCTGTGAAGAACCCGAAAGAGCCAGCACAAGATGGGATCAGCCTGTAGGAGTCTCAGAGGGCTTTGGTCTTTCTTCATCTCCTGGGCTCACCAAGGAGAAAAACACCTCTTCCCTTTCACATTCACGCTGGGCCCAATGAAGCCTTTTACAAGGAGCAGCAGTTCAAGTATCTGCACTGCTTTGGAAGCTGAAGCTTCTAATCCCACAGCCCAGCTACATGCCCAGAGCTCCTGTAAAGGAAGACACTTGGTCCATTTTTGTGGTGCACGTATAGAAAGGCCCCACCCAGTCTGACTGAGAGCAGGGAACTGTGTAAGAGACACCAGTGCTGCTCATTTCCCTGTGCTGGTGGTGAGGAGTCTCTGCACGTTACACCAGGAGAGTCGATTTCTTTAGGAGGCACTCACATTCTCTGAGCATGAAGCGTAATCATCAAAGCAACTCCGCAGGTCAGCAGGAGGCTGGAGCATGGCTCACTCTGTCCTGCTACTGCATCACCAGCCCTGTGGCGCTGAATTCTCAATACTCAGACTGGAGACCATGGCATTCATCAAACAAATACCCTTCTCCCCTTGGGATTCTGCAAAGAAGTGGCTTGTTGCTCTGCTGTTTGTTATCAATGCAGCTGTACTCGGACCACCCCTTGGCTCTCAAGCTGCTACAGACAAGACAAAAGGGACTGGATCCTGCTCAGCTCTTACCACCGGGGAGAAGCCCGACAGCTCTGCCTCACTCTCGCTCTCCGTCTCTGCTGTTGGCTCATCACCTGCTGCAGGCTCACTCTTCCCTTGTCGCTCTTTGAAGAAGAGAAGAAAGGCTTTACATGAGATTGAAGGAATTTTATGCCTTTATACATCACTTTCCCACTACTTCTACTGCCCTCTGAAACTGCACAGGTTTCCCAGAAGCCCAAGGTTCTCAGAGACAATTGTAACCCGTTGCTCTCATCTGCTATTCCCAGGTTCACCTGCCCCACTGCTCTACCCCCAACCCTCAAGTTTCAGTCTGTTTCCCCCTGCTCTGCTGCAGCCTTTCACCACACAGCACTGGCAGACGTGCTCTCCCATTGTCCCTTTGCTAGGGCTCCACCCCGGGAGTGTGTCACCAACAAAAGTTAGAGAGAAGGTGGGTCCTTACTCTTCTTCTCATGCTTGTGGTGCAGCGTCTCTGCCTTCATACTGTAGTCCAGTTTCATCAGGACAGGCTCCAAACGCGTGTACATCCTCTGGATCAGCTCATGGTAGACCACCAGAGGCCAGAGCAGAATGCTGAGCACTGCAGACACAGGATGCAAGGAGTGTGAGGGTCAGACCAAGCACAACTCATCCCTTCACAGAGCACCGGCAAGAAAGTCTGCATCAAGGGAAGCGCAGTTGAGTGGCATTTGCTTTCCCATCCGACCCTGCCTAAAATCCTCATCCATGGCTGTCCTTAGTCATTCCAAAGCCGCTTGATTAACCAGGTTTTCCTAACAGATCTCTGTTAGGATACGGATTTATGTTAAGATGAGGCATAAGCCCTCCTCTCCAGCCACTGCATCCCAGCCCCAACATGCAATAGAGGCCCTGAAATGAGGTTATTAAAACTAAAAATCACCAAAACTTTTATAGGGGTAGCAGCACAGAGCTCATATGTAGATGCGCCAGCAGCAGACCACCTGAACAGTCCTCAGAGTTAGCAGGGACTCACGATGCAGTGAAAAAGGTCTTATTTATTAAACATGCAACTTCTTTAACAACTCTCTCCATATGGATTTGCCCACTCTAGGAACAGAGAGACTGCAGCTTTCTGCTTCCCGGAGCCTCACCAGCACAGCCCTAGCCGCGGGTAGAAGAGGAAAGCAATGTTTTAGCGACGGCTCCCTCTCCTGACTTTGCGGCTGTACTGCATGCACGCACTTAGAGCAAGAGACTTTGCAGAGCACATCACCTGTATTGATTAATCATCTAGCACAGATCCCCTCAAGAAAACCACAGATATGCTTCTACCAGCGTACCAACAGCACAGTTAGGTCATGTTTCAGCTTATGTCAGACAAG